CCGGAAGATTCACAAGGACTTCAAATGGGAGGTTGTTTGTGGTAGATCTCTACAAAGAGGAAGGGATCAAGTACAAAACTCAAGGGATCACCTAGAAAAAGGCAGGGATCCCGAACTACCCTTCAAGGGGAACCTCCTCAAATGGAAGGAACAAAGCGCGCAGAAAGGAACGCCGGTCTTCAAGCGAAATCGTCAGGTAGGTACTGTGGACAAAATTCGTGATTGACACGACTTTTGGATGGAAGAACCCCTATGAAGAATGAGACAAGCCGCTTACCCACGGGTGAAGGATTTCGTCCATCCACAAAGGTCTTCCAACACCCCCCGATCGTCAGCTTCCGGATCTTTCCGGGGACCTCGGCTCAAGCTACCCTTATAATAGAAACGTTGGTTGAAAGGTCGGTTGAAAAGGACACCAACATGGAGCCACTTCTGTTCATGCCAAGCAGGTGAGCAATCCTGACACAGCTGACGCAACCTCCCAAAGCCCGTCCACCCCTCCTCGCGCAGTTTCGCGCTGCATTCAGCCTTTTTCTCCTCTGCCACCTTCTAGGGAGCATGGTTGCATGGACACCCTCGTCCACTGGCACTCACCACATTTTTAGGAACACCATCTTAAATGGGAACCCCGGATGAATAAACCTGTCCGAACCTGTCCTAGTTTAGATCCCCCCTACTAATAAACTGGGGCTCATTAATCCGGGGTCAACATCAGTCGACATGTCCATGAAGGCATACAAGTTGACCCCCTCCATGTCCAGACTCTTCACCTACCGCTCTCTGGGGCCACTCAGTCACTCGGAACCGGTTCCGCGGCTGCGGTCTACTTGATCCGCAGGATCAGGTGCTCCCCCGAGTCGGTGGACACCACCTCGCGACTCGGGTGGGTTAATACACAGCGACCCTGCGAAGGGCGTTCCCTCAGAACAGGCCACAACGTACCCACCCATGCAACAAATGGCATGATTTTCCCTTTCAAACGAGTTCATGCATATATGTCCATCAAATAATTTGATATGACATGTCCAAATCAGTCAGAATGGCTTCCCACCCATTTCCAAAAACATGTCGGAATGGCTTGCCGCTTGCCCCCACGGGTCCCAGTTCGGGGAGGTGTTTTTGATACTTCACCTTTTGATAAATTACCCTGCCTCTGAGAGCTGGCCCACCTGCAGTGCGAAGGAGGCCTCCTCAAAGGCCTTCTGCATCCTCGCGGCGAAGCAGGCGACCGCTCGACCGCTCGCCCGGGCCCCGCGGCGATGCGTGGTCTACGCGCGCAAGCCCAGGAAGAAAAACCGAGAAACCCATGTTGCCTTCGACAACCTTTACGACCAACAAGGGAACATAGGCAAACAAAATATCCATTTCAGCCAAATGGAAGGCGTTACCAGCTCCTCCAGTAGAATAAAGGGTACGAACTTTTTCTGTAGTCTATTTTAGTGGGGGGTGTCCCTCCCCCCCCAAAAAAAAAAAAGAAAATGAAAAAAGAAACGCAAAAAGGGGCACCTAGCTGGGGGACCTAGGTTAGCTTTCAGGTCGCCTCGCTCCCGGCACCCTCCCGCCTGCCCCGGGCGAAGAGGCCCAAGTCTCCCCCGCGCTTGGCGGAGCCGCAGTCCGAGTGCTCCCGCGCCAACTCCTGGCGCTCAGGAGCGGACTGGCCGGAAGGCGAATTCCCTGGCCCTGAACAAAACCTCTAGGGCTACCTTCCATGTCCATTCTTTCCAGACATCCTGATCGACATCCTTCAAAACCACTACTCTTTTTTTTTTTGGGGGGGGGGTCAAATGACTAATTCAGAGGAAAATGTTTCCTACAAGTCTCATATGATTACTGATGCAGCATCATAACGTGCAGTATAAGTCAAATATTGAAAGGACTTAAAATCCCTTCCCCAAAGTAATAAAACCTCTAGGGGTACCTTCAATTTCCATTCTTTCCAGACATCCTTCAAAACCACTACTTTATTGCGGGGGGGGGTTCGAGGGGTTGATTCCAATTCCATTCTTTTCAGCCGTCGTTCTCTTCAAAAACCGATCGGCATGTTCCCATGATTTTTGGTGGTTTTCTAGAAAGAAGGATCCCTGGAAAGAATGGGGAAGTTACCCCTAGACTAATAATAAAAATCCCCCCCAATGAAGTAGTATTCCCGGATTTGGAACTTTGGAAACAATCATTTACTATTAGGGAGATCTTTAGATTGGGGGAAGATTAGCCCCAAACTTCTTGTATTTCACCAGACTGATCCTCCATGGTAGCGGGAAGTCCATGATTCCCCGCTTCCTGAGTTCATGGGCGATAAAACAAAGACCAAACTTTGTATGCACGGCTAACATGGCAACCAAGCCCAAGAAGACTTAAAGTCCATGAGCAAGTAGCCAAAAACTGTTTCCGCACAAAGTTGAAGTCCAAAGATTCAACCAAATACCTACAAAGAATCCCGCCAGCAGCTCCTCTTGGCTTTTGGCCCGAAGCAGCCATTTCCTCTGGCTATTGAGGGGGCAAACAGTTGAGCCGTTGCATTGTTCGTGGGAAAGATCCTGACACGCCCCCAAAAAGGCAAAGTCTTTACTGAACCAACGCACAAGCGAAGCAACCTTGGGTACCCTCACATGCCAACATGAAATCGTTTTGTAGGAGAGCCCAGAAAAAGTGTACCCATCTTGCCCCCAACAAGTGGAGATGCCCATTCCCAGTTGGCTTCAAAAGGAACTGGGGTTCAAGCACCAGTTCAGGGGGCATTGGCCCCTCAAAACATCATCCCTACCAAGGGCACTCACATGCACTCACCATAAATGGGCAAACATGGTGTCGTTCAAAGTGAGGGGATTTGCTGTTTGGGAAAACAAGGGTTTTTGCCATTGAACCCACAGAAACTCAAACTCTTTTCAGGGGGTTCAACAGCAACACCGTTTCTCGCGCGAGATTTTTGTTCTCCCGTGCACTTTTCGAATGGGGGCCATAAATGGGTGAGTCTTTTTTGAGGTTGGGCTGCCCAAAATAGGTGGTGGGGCTTTCCTTTTGGCCCCCCTTTAAAACCACGAAGGGGTCCAAAGATCCAACCCATAGCCATCAGGACAACGGATTTCACCCTAGGTCCTCCAGCAGAGAGGTTAGAATAAGGTACCAACTTTTTTTCGGTCGTCTATTTTTAGTAGGGGGTGTCCCTCCCCAAAAAAAAACGGTAAAAGTTGGCACCACTTGCTGGGGGGCCTAGCACCGCCCGGCGGTTTTACTCCTCGAACTTGGGCCGCACCGACGCGCTGTCGAGGCCCACCAGGTCCGCCTCCGCTCGCGATCCAATGTACATGGGACAAACATGGACAAACACTGGGTGTCTTGTTGTCTTTGTATTTTTGTTTCTTTTCTGTAATTGTTTTTGTGGGGGGGAGGGGGGGGGTCGTTGTTTTCTGTTTCTTTTCTTCATGTGTTTTCTTTTTGTTTGGGGGGGGGGGGTGCATTTAAGCTTGCTGGCTTAAAAGGGAAACCAAAAGGAAACCAACCACAACCACCCAAATGCCTTCTGAGCTGAAACGCCCATGTTCCCAAACCTCACTGGCATAGGCCAGGCATAGGTGGAGCTGGGCGACGGACATCTGCATCTGGCTCTCAGCGAGAAGTGAACCACTCTTGGTGGGTTTAGTGGGAAAACCCAACTTCATTTCAACCAAAGACTTAAAGCCTAAAGATCCAACCCAATAGCAGTCAAGAAAACTGGGCCAACAAGACAAAAAGCCACAGGTAAGGTCGATGACTCGTTCTCACTTGCCGAGTTTGGACCTAAGAAGTGATCACCTCTTGGGGCAAGTACTGAAAGTCAAGACAAAGATAAGAAGTTGAGTTCAAGCTTCCCAGAACGGATGCATTCTCGCCCATGGCCTGACCAATGCTTGGTTTCCATCCGGGTCGCAGAACATAAGACATCGTCTGACTCTCTTCCATTTTTGGCTGCGCTACCCAGAACAACACAACATCATCCCGGCGGAGAGCCACCAACAAAGCAGCGAGAAAGAAACATGTCGAGGCTACTACTCCCCTTTTCTTTTTTCCCATGGACAAAAAAAAAAACCTATCTTCGATCTCGGAATCTCCCGGCTGAAACGGGACCGGCAGCAGTTGGTCCCCTGGCTATGGAGCGTAAGCCCCTCTCCAAACCCCCGGGCCCACGGCGCCTTCAGCTCCTCCAGGAAGCCCGCCGCCTCCGGCCACGCTCGCTGGGCGGGCGTTGGAATTGGATCGGCTGATTTGATCTGATTTGATCTGCTTTGATCTGCTTTGATCTGCTTTGATCTGATTTTGATATGATTTTGATATGATTTTGATTTGGTTTGGCTTTGGCTTTGGGCTTTGGCTTGGTTTGGTTGTTTGATTCCGCTTTAAGGTCGATCCATCTTGGGAAACGCAAAGAATAAGTCATTCGAAGGGTGAAGCGGAGTTTTTTTGCATTTCCGGCTTTGGAACCTAGAGCGGCCATCGTTTCAATGGACACCAGCAACTTGATAAACTTTTGAAGGGAAATCCACTGAACTGGGACGTTGCATGTGTGCTTGCACAAGAAGACCCCAAGAAGCAAATTAAGCAACCTGTACAAAGGATTTGAGCAACTCATCACTCTCGGAGGGAAACACCCCCCCCTACTTGAAGGACGTGGTTTACTGATGGGGCACCAAAATGTCACCAAAAGTTATTAAGAAAAAGGCGGAAGCGAACCAAGCGGCAACCGGCGGACTCCACCTGACCGATCAGCAAACCGCTGGAGCCCGGCCTCCAGCTTGGAGCAGGTGATCTTCTCCTCTCGCCAACTGGAGGGCCGCCGGGACCCGCTGTGCTTGCGGATGATGTGCAGCACCTCGCCAGGAAATATGGAGGGGCAACATAAAAAACCAACCCCTGGCTTTTGAGGGCGGGGTGCTTCTCCCTGGGTTTACCCAATTTTGATCAACCCCAGTTTACTCATAAGGGAGTTCTTCTCCCTGTGTTTTAGTGGGGAATCAGAGCACTTTGGGAGGGGACAACACCCCCCCCCCAACCTCCGGTCAACATCATAGGCGAGGGGCCGAGCTCGTTTCTTACCCAGGTGTGTCGGTACAACTTAAGTTGGTGCAGCTGAACAAACGCCAATGCCTTTGCTTTTGCTTTGTGTGATAGTTTTTGTTGCTGCCTTTCTTGAGCAAGCGGGTCTACGCTTCTACTTAAGGGGGCAGGGTGCTTAGTACGTGCTTGGTACGCCTGGTTCTACCCCACTTACCATGGTTACAAGTCTCCTAAGTGGGTGAAACCCAGGTTTACCAACAACGTACTGCCCCTTTAAGTAGGCAACTGTTGCTCCTTTTCTTGGCTGCTTGGTTGCTGCCCGCTTCGAGCCTTTGTTTCACCATTAGGGGGCTCACTGGCTCCTTTCCTTCTGAAAGGTGCATCATTTCTGGAAAGTACCCGATTTGGAGACCATCTTGAATCTTGAGAGGGATCCCTGTTCACTGGGCCACAATCCTTGAATCGAACCTACATTTTGCTGCCTGAGTCATCTCTACCTGGGCCCGTGGCTCAACCACTACTAGAACGTTATCAACCAAAAGGTGTTCGGACCACCCGAAGTGCAGGAAATTCAGCCATCCCTCTTGAAATCAGATGCTGTATGTTCGGGTTACTTTGTTTTGCCCGGTGGCATTCGGGGGCGGTGGTTTGAGGACACCGGCACTATGAATCCTCTGGCACAATCGCTTCGAAGCACATGTCAAATTGCTAAAGCGGGTGGTCACTTTTGGTGACACACTTGGTACTCATTGTAAGTCTTAGTTGGCAAAGTCTAAAAGAAAGCATCCTTTTTCAGAAGCGTTTAGCTTGCTAAACCAAGCTTGGCACCTTTGCAACGACCAAGAGCACAAGACCCGTCCTCAGCCTCCATACCTCCATATGATTGGACCCCGCTTTTTCGCCTATCTTGGAGAACCACGGCCACTTTTAGCCATTTGCTTTTTCTTCTTTCTTTCTTTTCCTTTTTTTTTTTTTTTGGGGGGGGGGGGGGCGGGGGTGTTCCGGTTCCTTCTTTGTCCCTCTCCCTTCTTTAGACCCCCCAAACATGGCTTCCGCCCAATGCATTCCCGTAAAACAGACCAGCCTCCCACATCGCGGACCCCAGGCTGAACGCATCGCCCTCCCGAAACAACAAACTTCCTTGCCTGCACCTGGTCGGTTTTGGGCTTCTTGGCCGGAGGCGCATCCTCTAAGCCCTCCTGGCTGGCAAAAAGGAAAAAACACACATCAGATGTTGAGCCCATATTTCACTAGGTCCTCCAGTAGAGAGGCTGGAATCAGGGTACCATTTGTTTTCTGTAGCCCATTTTAGCAAAGGAACCCTCCCAACCAAAAAAGAAACGGTAACAGGGCACGAATGGAGGACCTAGCTTCCCTCCAACTGGGCCGCCCGATGTCCGATCCCGCGCTCAAAGTGACAAAAACTTTTAGTGGGTTACATTCGGAAACTACCCACTAAACACTAAACAGCTGAAAGGCGAAAGAACCGGATGGCTGGCTTCGCCACCAAGCCCATCAGTTTGGAGCCGAATCGGTGGTTACCCTCTGCAAGAGCTAGGGGCGGGTTGAAATCCCAAACCAATCCAAACCACCAGTTAGGCTAGGTACCTGAGTATGAATCAGGGTGTTCCCCTCCAAACACCATCTTAATGGGAAGAATAAACCTGTCCTAGCAGGGTGTTCCCCCCCACCAGCGGTCTGATTCCCCACTGAACCCAGCTTAGACCCCCTATTAACAAACTGTCTCTTCAAAGCCCTTGGGGGTTGGGGGAAAAGCCCTGGAAGAGTTTGCTGTTTCTTTTTTTAACTTGCTAGTGCTCAGAATGTTAAACCCAGGGGTGCTCTGAAAGAAAACCACCAGTTGTTTTTTTTTCAGTTCTTGGGGTCATTCCATTTCTCATTCCCTGCCACTCGTGAAACAGACATGGGTTGGATCAACCTCATGTTGGCCCTAGTTTGTCTCGGAGTCTGTGGCACACTCTTAAATGGGGGGCCTGACTGATTGGTTTGCGAATAGGTTCCCCTTCGACGTGTTTGTTCGAAGCAGCTAGCCTGTTCTACAGCCCGCAAGCTCGCAAATGATAACTTCAATCAACTCCCCAAAAGGGATGCTCCTCTACAAAAGCGTGTTGGTGTTGGGCGTCCATGTGAATCGGGGATTCGAGGGGACGAACGCCAGCCCCTTTTACAGCCAATCAGTCAGGGCCCCAGCGGAAAGCAGCCAAAAAGTGATCGTTCTGCTTCCCTGCGCAACAACCCCCAAAAAAGGCACTGGCAGTAGAACACAAACAGCTTCCCGACAGGGAAGAACAAAGACCCCCCAAACGGGGCATTTGCAAAACACAAAAGTGTGGTAAAAGCAATGGTTGAAACGTCCTTTTATACATAAACATTGTTTTTGTTATTAAAAAGACATGCTATTGTGTGTGTTTGTGTTTTTTGGAAGGCGGGTTGGTTGGCAGTTTGAGTGAGGACCCTTTTTCCCGGATCAGTAGAAGCATGCCATCTGCAGGTTTTGTCCCAAAAAATGCACGGACTCCCCCGAAAAGATTCACTGGGGTTGCCGCCTAGTTGCCCTTAAACACCCCACAAAGGACCAAAAAGGGTGCCCTAAAACGGGCTCACTCAGGATCTTTTTCATGGGCCTCTTCCCTTCAATTTTTTTGCTGGGCCCATCTGGGGTACTCCCAAATATCTTCTGACTCTGTTCCATACTTGGCCTACCCTGAAATAGGGCCATAAACTTCAGGAACCTTTCTGAAAAGTTGTTGGTGGACATAATTAGCCACCAACGAGTTCTCCCTTATAAAAGTCATACACATATAACCCATCTACAATCCTTTGGCCCCCTACCCCCCCTCCCCCCCCCCAAACGTGGTTTGTCCAGCTGTGTCACCTCTCCCGGCTCGCTCACACCTCTCCTCGCCGCAAGCGTGGATGGTGACCCTCTTGGACGTCTTCCCGCTCGCGGAGCCCAGCCTCTCCATCTTCTGCACCACCTCTCCGTCGAGTCCGTCGCTCCGTCGCCCCCAAAAAAAAGGCAGCCTTTGGGCTTGGTTCTCGCTCGAAGAGGCAACCGACCCTTCCCAAAAAAACACACGGCAACACACACATGTATATCTATATATATATATATATTATCAGGACGATTCAATCATTGCTTCTACCAAGGTCAGCGGGCAAGTTGAGATGCGGAGACAGGAAAATGCGGCGCTTTCTTGATGAATGGGACACCCATGAGGTGCCCAAAGTGCTTTTGGCGATCCGGCCGCGCCAAAGGAGAGGCACGTTTCCTTTGGCGCCGTGGTTGGTTTGGAGGGCTTTTGATCTTCAGGATTCTGGGCTGCCACTAAACACTAAAAAGCTAAAAGGCTAAGGAAATAGATGGATAGTTGGGAGCCACCAAGGATCTTAAGAGGCAAGCTTCAGAACGGCCCTTTTTTCTCCTCCTTGATTCGAAGCTCGCAGACTGACGCGAACCTTCAAACGCGAAATTAATCTGAGATGCCGCCTGGCCGACAGGTCGAACTTTCGTTCGAGCAAAGGCGGCAGGGAAACCAACTTAAACTAGATCCTCCAGTAGAGAGCTTGGAATATGGGTACCAACTTTGTTTTCCTGTAGTCTATTTTAGTAGGGGACACTTCCAAAGAAAGAAACGGTAAAAGGGCACTACTGGGGGACCTGGAAATCAAGGCCGGGAATCTTAATCGCCAGCTCATTCATCTCACTTCGGCTTGGCACCACACATGGACTCGGGCTTCAAGTGCTCCTGCACCTGCTCCTGCACCGATTCTCTCAGAGGCAAACACCAATGGGCAGCCCCTGGCGAATAACTTCCCCAACTCCTGATTGAAGAGCAGAAACCCGCCTTTTCACGTGGGGGGGTTCTTTTTTAAAGGGGCCGACGTTACGGGCTTCCCTTATGTCAACGAGGAAGAATCTTGTGGATTGCCGGAATCAGGGACTTTCAAACATGGGATCCCCTCTGGGACGCGTCATCGGATCGCTTTCATCGGGTACCTGAATTCTTGAGAACCTTGGCCCGGGTGGAGGGTGGGTGGATGTGGGTGGGTGGGTGGGTGGGTGGGTGGGTGGGTGGGTGGGTGGGTGGGTGGGTGGGTGGGTGGGTGGGTGGGTGGGTGGGTGGGTGGGTGGGTGGGTGGGTGGGTGGGTGGGTGGGTGGGTGGGTGGGTGGGTGGATGGATGGATGGATGGATGGATGGATGGATGGATGGATGGATGGATGGATGGATGGATGGATGGATGGATGGATGGATGGATGGATGGATGGATGGATGGATGGATGGATGGATGGGATGGGGCGCCCAAACCCAATAACTTTGGGTTCCAACCCGGTTGCACTGGCTTGTGCAAAGTACTGCTTGGCCGGGGCGCTCAAATAGGTGTCTGTTGCTTTTTCGGGCACCTGTTCATGAGCTTCGTTCCCCCACGGCTCCAAGTCCGGCTCCCTTCCAACCACCACTTAGACCCCCACTCCACCCCACCCTGACCAGATACAGAGAAAACCCAGCCCGAAATGGCAACCAAACCCAAATTTCAGCCCGAGTTCCGGAACTCAGAAACTCAACTCCCTTCCAACCACTTCACCCCCCACCCTTCCCCCCCCTTCCCCCTCCCCTCCCCCCCCCCCCTTCCCCCCTTCCCCCCCCTTCCCCTCCCTTCCCCCCCCTTCTTCCCCCCCGCGCCTTCGTTAGGAAGCCCAGCTCCACGATGACGTCCGCGGGGGCCCGCTTCTCCTTGAGCGCCTTGGCCGCCGCCTCGGTGCAGGCCTTGTAGCCGATGTGCGGCAGCAGCGCTGTGATGATGCCTCGGATCCCACGGGATGTGGCGTGAGAAGTGGGGGGTGCCAGTTTTGGGGTGTGTTTTGCTTTCTTCTGTTTTTTTGTTGGGAGGGGGGGTTGAGTGGGCGTGTCTTCTCTTTAATTTGGGGGTACCTGTTTGTGTTGTTGTGTCTTCTTCTTTCTTTCTTTCTTTTTTCTTTGGGGGGGGGGGAGGGTGGGGTGTGAAGGCAAGCCAACAAAAAACACCACAATGTTGTTCTTCTTTTCTTTCTTTCTTTTTTTTGGGGGGGTCCCCTTAAAAAGGAAACACCCTAATCAACTGGAACCCCAAAAAGGCGAGAAAAGCTGGAAAGGTCCGCTAAGTCCGGCAGTGATGCCAATGGAGTTGTACACCATCTCCTGACAAGTGCGCTCACCGGGAAACTGAAAAACAAACTAAACTGGACAAAATCCCCAAATCAAAGTTGTTGCCAACAACAGCGATTGACAGAGAAAAAAAAAACTAAACTGAAAAAAGAGAGAAACAACCAATCAAAGTGAACGGTTTTGCTACGCTACCGACAACAGGGATTGACCGGTGGTCCCCTTTGAAACACTGAAGTTCCAAGCAACAACCAACTGGAGGTTTCCATTGAAACGATCGCCAGTGAAAGGAGGTTCAGGTTCCCTCCAAAGGGGCTCCGGTTTGAAGCGAGACTGGTGGACAACATCCGCGAGACGCACTTGGCATGGAGGAAACCCATTTGTAAACTTCACTTGCTTCTGGGGGACCAGGAAATGAACGATGATAACCTTTTGGAACCAAAAGACTGAATGGACCAACGCGAAACCAAAAGGTCAAAAGGTTGATACGCCTTGGGGAAGTGAGAAGCTGGTTGAAAGGGAAATTTGTCCACCCACAGGATGAAAGGGAACCTACTCATTGTTAGGGCAACCTACTGAGAGATAAACGGAGGATTCCAACCCTCTCCTTGCAATGCTCCTCGTTGGCGGTGATGCCTTCAACGCACTTTTCCCGGAGCGTGTTGATGCCTGGTCCGACTAAAACAACAGTTGGAGCCCCCGCAAAAATGGCCTGGACGTGTACACCATTTACCCTGGCTCACCCACACGCGTTACCAGAAGAAGAAGAAACATGCCTCTTGACGGGGCTAAAGCCAGGAACACGATCCAGGTGTTCTTGGTGGCTTCTCTCGACCAAAGAGAAAGAAAGGCCCGCCCGCCTCTGGTCAGCACCACAACCTTGGCCCAAAGGGGTGCACAGAAAATAGTAGTTTCTGATTCTTCATACCCAACCCCAAAATAGAAAATGGATTTAGAGACCCACAGTAGCGGCTTCTTGGGTACTCCAAGAATCTTCTGATTTTGGCTCACCAAGTGGTCCAAAACTAAATTCGAGTTTTGGAGGAGACCCCCAGAGACCCCCTGCTCCGGCATGTGCCAAATATTAACAGCTAACAAGCAGAAAAACATGCCAAGAGCGCTGAAGAACAACCCTAAGATGAAAGCGTATTCCTCTAAGTTGCTCAAAGGCAAACAACCAAACATGAGAATCAGTTCCATACTCAGCCTACACCTTAAAACACGTAGAGGAAACGTTGGTCCCAGCAGGCAATAGGAAACCACCCATCGGAAACTCAAGCCCATTTTGCGGGCTCTTTCTCAACGGCCCCCAGCTCCCGAGTCCTAACGGCTCCCGTCCAACAGCTAGATTGTAGAAAATTCTGTTCGGAGAAGGCACACATCAAACAATTCAAAAAAAGGAGTATTCATTTCAGCCAATGGAAGACAGTCCTTCTCCTAAATCCTAAAGAAGACCTGCCCCAATTTCTTGGTTGACGTTGGAAGGGGAGCAAGAAAATAGACTTGGCAGTTAAGTGGTTGGAGTCCAACCACTAAACCACAATAAGCAAAAACACAAGTAAAAACTGTTTCCCAACCACAACCATGCAAGGACCTGAAGCAAACAAAAGCCCAAGGTGAAGTCACCAGAACTGGCAACCAAAACCTGAAAGGTGGTGACCAAATCAGGGAAGGAAAAGAAGAAGAAACAAGACATATTCCTTTCAGCCAACAGGAATAAAGTCCCTCTCTCGCGCCCATTTTTGTCAAAGTTGAATTCCCCCATGTGTCCCCACATATTCCTTTCAGCCAACAGCCAAAAAGTCCCTCTCTTGCGCTCATTTTTTCAAAGCTGAATTCCCCGCAGGCCACGACTTTTCCCATTTTCCACCCCATTTTTCAAAGCCGAGTTCCCCGCAGGTTCCCCCAAATTGTCCCGATTTGTCAAAGCTGAATTCCCCCATTTTTCCCCGCAGGCAATGACTTTTTCCCATGCTCCCCCCATTTTTCCAAGCCGAGTTCCCCGCAGAGTCCCCCATTTTTCCCGATTCCTCAAAGCTGACATTCCCCCCCATTGTTTCCCCATTTCTCCGCCGGCAACGGAGGTGAATTCCCAAATTTTCCCCGACTTCTCAAAGCTGAATTCAAAATTACCCCCATTTTTTTCCCGTTTCTCCGCGGGCCACGGAGGTGAAGAGCTTGTAGATGATCACGGGCTCCATGACGTTCAGCTCCAGCTGCCCCGCCTCCGCGCCGAAGGCCACTGTGAGGTCGTTGCCGATGGTCTCGAAGGCGCACATGTTCATCACCTGAGAGGCTCCGAGCCCTCAGACGAAAAAGCGCCCCCCGTGCTTCTTTTTTTTTTCTCCCCCCTGTTTTTGTGTTGTTCCGTTTTTTGTTGGCGTGCTTTTTTGGATGTTTCTTTCTTCCGGTTTGGGGGGGGGGGGTTCAGACGAAAATGCCCCCCCCCCCCTCCCTTTTGCCGTTTTTCATTCTTCGGGTGGTGCTTTTTCTTTTTTATTTTTTCCGGGGGACCCTTGGTCAGCTTCCATCTACTCGGTGATTTGGATTGGTGGTTTGGTGGTTTAGGGGAATCACCCGTGTCTGGTTGGGAGTATCCTAGCTTCATCTACCCGGCGATTGAGGACATTCATCACCTGAACAGCTCCCACCCTTTTCACATTTGATCCCTTCAAAAGGACAATGGTTCGTCCACCTTCTGCCTGAAAGCCAGCTTCAAAAGTTCCCCGCTAGAGGGGGAGGGGGATGGGGGCCCGGACCCAATTCCATTTATCTAGTATTCGTCACAGGGAGAATGGAACATATGGAATTCCAGGGGTTAATCCATTTTGAAGGGGTTGATGACAACAGGCGTTTCCTCTTTTTCAGGTGGTTTTTCAAGAGGTTTTTCCAATTCTTCTGGTTGGGAGTATCCTTCAACCTTCATCTACCCGGGTTTTGGTTGTTCCTCACCTCAAAGCCGGGCTTTCTTTTCGGGTGGCTTTTGCCGGGAAACCAAGAGGCACAAAATGGCTGGGGGTGGGGGGGGGGGGAGGGTTGGCACGATTGGTTGTTGATAGTACACGTTTCGGGGTGGTTTTTGAAGGGGTCAATCAAAGAAACGTCGATCCAAGTCCCGAGCTTTACTTGCCTCCGGTGTTTGAAGGGAAACCCAAAAGAAAGCCAGCCCATTTGAGTCGTAATCAAAACTCGGTAGGAAGATGGTCTACCCAGAACCATGTAAAGAATTAAGGAGGCGGCCGCAGCTACTTATGGTTGGGATTGTCCCTTCATAACCTTCATCTTCCCGGATTTTGATTGTGGTTCATTTGAGGGAAGTGCATAGGCCCCTTACGACTAGGCCGTGCACTCTTCCATGGGAGTTGTTTTTTCTTGCGACCCCCACATTTCCAACGAAACATCAGCCCCACTTTAAATGGCCGTTGAAAGGAGTCTTGGCCAATCCTAATCCATATTGGAAAGCCACTCCCTTGCTCCAGATCCCTTGCTGCAAGTTCAACCTGAATAGGTTTTGTGGAGCCTAGCACTAAACCAACTAAAAGACATCTTAACCTGAAAGGACCCGAATGATTTGCCCGGCTCCCACGAATCTTCCCTGGCACCCCCAAACAAAACGAAGACGAGGTGCACCTCCGCCCGCTTTTTTTTTAAATCCTCCACTCGGACCGCTCCGCCCCGGTACCCGCGGGTCCCCTCCCGGGACCCGGTGCCCGACCCGCCTCGGGGATCACGGGGTTCACCTTGCCTTGGTTCACGTTGGACGGGCAGGAAAAAAATGAATTTGGCAGTTAAGTGGTTGGATTTCAACCACTAAACCACAATAAGCAAAAGTGTAAAAAATGTTTCCCAACGACAACCATGTTGCCCGGCATGATGGACGAGCCCGGCGCCATCGGCGGCAAGTTGATCTCCGCGATGCCGCAGCGGGGGCCTGCGCACGGGAGGGTTTTGGTGAAGCTCCAAACTGGGGGGGCGAAAGCATGGGTGGGTGTCCTTAGGTGGATGTATTTTTCGTTATTTTATTATTATTTTTTTGGGGGGGTCACGCGGTCCAAAATTGTGGAGGTTGTTTTTTTCTTGTTGTTTTGGGGTGGGGTCCAAAATGGTGGGTTTCCTGATTTCTTTGGAGCGGGAATCCAACATGGGTGTTTCCCTGAGGTTTTGGGGAGGGTTTTCCTTTAAGAGACTGCAAAACAAGGGGACCTGCAATAAATTCAAGCCCACACGGTTTTCTTTGGGCTGTCCCCTACCTTGGGCATCCCCCAATAGACCAGTTTGCTAGTCTTCCTAAAACGAAATCCAAAAAATCCAAAATGGAAAATGAACAGAACAACAAGTTGCCAACAGTGATTTCGCCCCCAAAGGAAACAACTTTTAAGGCAAAGGCCTGAGGAGAGCAGGCGCAGGTCGTTGCAGACTTTGGAGATCTTCACAGCGATTCCTTGGTCCAAAGCAGGCTAAAAGGGAAAGGGCATCTTCCATTTGGTCAAGGCCCCAGGAAAAAATAAAAATATGTCCAGTAGTGATGAACTCCTTTTAAAACCAACAAGGGAAAATAACACATATTCTTAGGCAACTGGAGGCCATGGCAAGTGTAAGGTTCACCTTTTGGGCCTGAAAGACGTTTCTCTTTTTTAACTTGTCCCTCTATTTGGTGGTTTGGGACCTGGAGGTTGGTTTTACATTTATCCTCTTAGGGGTTCAACGCCAAATTCAAGCCACAAATCCAAACCACCAAGGGTCCCTTGGAAATTACACGTCTGTGATACCAAGGGGGCCCCAGCCATTTCTGAGGACTTTTTCGAAAATTCACCTGCAGAGGTCTCCGCAATCATCGAAAAACCGATTTGACCTCCCTAGGGAAACCTCTGAAAATGCGGATGCCAAAGCCATTCAAGCGCGGGCTTCACTCAAACGCGAGGTACAACTAGGACCAACTCCTTAACCTTTGGAGGGATCTGGAAGGCTAAAACTTGACTTTCTAGGGGTTGATTCCAATTCCATTCTTTTCCAACATCGTTCTTTTCAAACTTTCCGGGCGTTTTCACTGGGTTCTTGAGGTTTTCACTGGAAAGATCCGGATTTTTGGAAAGAATTCGGACATGCAAGGTACCCCTAGAGACTCGTTTTTCTTTCTTTATGGCCAAGGGCTGAAGGCTTCCTCCAAGTTCGTGTCTGTGGCTACTTGGGCGTTTAACCAAGATAACAACCCACATCCGCGAAGTCGAGTTTTCTCCCCCCCCAACCCCCAAGATTCTGATTTCAATCCAGCGAGTTGGTTGGCGGTGGGGGTTTTGACCCCTACGTTTGTCTAGGTCCAGTAGAGGGGTTAGAACAAGTTGGTACCCGATGTTTTTTTCTGGAGTCGAACATTTAGTAGGGTTTTTCCTTCCAACCGAAAAAGAAACGGCAAAAGTTGGCAGCTAGCAGCTAGCTGGGAGACCTAGCTGTGTCTTGGATTTCCGTTTCCGCTGATCCAGCGCCCGATCGCTCGCGCTCCAGGCGTCGCCGCAGCATCCCGGAGAAGAAGAGCATGGCCCCCACGGAGGAGGAGGCCTCGATGAGGTCGTCCGCCAGGATCATGGGGAAGCCCGTGACCTTCCGCAGCTCCTGCACCACCACCTGACGCGGAAGAAACGGCAGGCGGAAGAAACGCATAAACCTAGGAAGGGAACCCATTCCATAGGTGTCCTTTCAGGGTAAATAGATGGCCCTGGTAGACCACCTGGCGGAAAAAAAGAAGAAACAAACGCCCTAGGAAGGGAAACCAGTTCAAAGGGGACCAACTCTTGGCTTCCCTGGGCTTTTTGCCACTGGATCCACATCCGGGAATTGGGGTGTTGCGGGGGTTTTGCCATGCATAGGCTTTCAGGGTAAATAGATGGCCCTGGTAGATGATGAAACCACCCAGGTAAACCAGGGCCATACTATTTTTCGACCAAAACAACCAAAAAGGACACCTATGGAACCATTTCAAAGGAAGCCCGTTCGCTTCCCTTAGCTTTCCTTTGCTGTTTATGTGCATCTAAGTCCAGCAAAACAAGTGCGAGCAACATGAAATCGGACCTCACAATTTGTCAGCCTACACGTACATAGGTATCCTTTTTGGAAAATAGATGGCCCTGGTAAATGGGGGAAAAACATCTAAACCCTAATCAAGCTAACCGATCAAAAGGACGCCTAGGTACATGTATTTTTCAGCCCTCAGTTTGGACCCAAAGTGATGGCGCTGGATCCCATCGCCAGAAACAAAAACAAGAAAACAAAAACAACAAGATGAGCCCTTGACAAATCGGAACTTTGGGCTCCAGAGTTAGGGCGTGCCATGGTAAAGGTTTGCACTAGGCTGAAAGTAGATGGGGGATGCCATCTAGGTTCTCCAGTAGAGAGGTTAGAATAAGGGTACCATTTTTTTCTGTAGTAGGGAACCCTCCCAAAAAGAAAGGGTAAAAGGGCACTACTTATTTTCACCCAACTCTAAAAATCCTTTGCCAGAAAGGCCTAGGTTTCCCGGCGCCACAAAATTCCTCCCCTGTTCAGACAACTAGCCACGCCCAAGAAGTGGTACCGCCCAAAGTTGAAACCACTCCCAGCAACCGCACACGGTTTTGGCTCGCGTTCTCTGATTTTTTTAACCGTCTGCGACGCTGTGGAATCCTATTCGGGTGGGTGGGTAGTTGAGAGCCACTTTCGGGTTCCTCCTCAGACTTCCCTAATATTTCTCAGACTTCCCGAGCGTTCCTCAGGCTTCCCCAGGCTTCCTCAGGGTTCTTTTGGGTTTTTGTAGGGCACCTGAGGTTCCTTAGGCTCCCCTAAGGCTCCCTAAAGTTCCCAAGAATTCCCCGACGTTTTGGGGTTAGGGCTTGGGGCTAAGGTTTCCCCCCAAAACATCCCTCCGCGTTCCCTAAAACGGGCTCCCCTATCCCTCTCAAACCCAAAACGGGCTCCCCGGATTTTCCGAGGCTTCAAATTCCCCTCACCCGAAAACCGCCGCCTGGGAGAAGCAGGGGTCCGCGGCGATGCCGGTGCCGATGGCGGTGCCCCCCAGGTTGGTGCTGGTGAACCGCGACACCGCGCTGGTCAGGGCGTCCAGGTCCTCGAGCCCGGCGGATGAAGCCCAAAAGGGCTATCCTGTCTTTCGTAGACCCCCGGGAAAAAATGGCAAGGGGTGTCCAGGTGAATGTCCCTGCCTTCCATTTGCTGAAGTTTTTTGGACAAATAAGGCTCGGGTAGTGACTGATTCCCTTCACAACCAACAAGGGAAAATAAACAACTCGTGCCGCCGCTGGAGGTGGCGGGTTGCGCTTTTTTCCAGGGGACCCGCGAAAAAGGGCCGCGGGGCCCCGGAAAATCTTCTGGGAAAAAAGTGACAAACCACAAAACGGAAAAGGGAAAAGGTCCCCGCAAATGACACGCCCGTGTCACCGTGCTGCTGGTAGAAAGCGACCAATGAGGTTGGAATGAAGGAAGCCCCCCAACAAAAAAATGACACGCCCATCTCACCGTGTTGCTGGTTGACAGGCAAACATGGGGTTGGAATGAATGAAGGCAACAGGATGAGCTTTTCCTTGAAGATGGGCAGACAATGAAAGGAACATCCAGGGCAAAAGGTGAAACGAGCAGGGTCACTGGGTTCCCGCAAATCCAAAGTTGATCAATTTACTGGCATGATCCTCACTTTTGGAGGTTCCCATTAAAGGGGCATGGCTCGGAAACACTACAAAAAGGGGGTGGTGTGGAGCCCGCCGATTTGGAGCCCAAAAGGAAATCCAAATCAAACCACCAATTGCGGGTTCCCTGAACCACTTGATATTTCATGATGTTTGGTTCCAACATGGTTCTGGGTGCGAATCTTCAACATAGGGGACCACAAAATAAGGCACAATGTTGACCCACCCACCCACCCAAACAAATAAAACATGAAACAAATGAAACCAACTGAGATGCTTGTTGAGGTTGCAGGAACCCCCTGAAAATAGCGGGGCATCCCCCCCACCCTCCACCCACTCAAAAAGCATGGTCCTCAATAGGCAGTGACCCAGGGTTTTCGGAATGAACCTAACATTTCCCTTTGAAAGAAGCCGGGGGTCATTCCATTTCTCATTCCCTGCCTATCGAACCAGCAAGAAAACAGAAACAAAACAACGAACAAAACACCCAATCCCCGCAGGAAGTGCTCGCCTCCATACCTCCAAACCCCATCCCACCCCAAGAAAACAAAAAATCACCCACCCACCCCCCCCCGAAGAAAAAAAAAAACACCCCACCCTCAAAAACAACAACAAACATCACCCACCAAAAGAAAACTAAAAACAAATCACCCACCCCACTTTCAAAAAACAAAAACAAGAATCACCCACCCCAAACAAAACGTATCACCCACCCCACCCTCAAAAAAAGCACAACAATCACCCACCCCACCCCAAACAACAGAGCAAAAAACAAACAAAACCAGCCGCGCGCCCCGAACTCCCCGCCAAAAGGCGTAGTGCACCGTGGTGGCGTAGGCATGGAACTCCTGGCCCAGGGTCATAGGCACCGCGTCCTGCAACTGGGTCCGGCCCATCTTCACCTCACGATCTGCACTCGGTTTTTGTTTTTCCCCAAACAGCGAAGCATTGGGGTTCTAACTTGAGGTATAGAGAATAGGAAAGTGTGACACCGATTTTGGTTTTGGTTCTGGTTTTTGTTTTTCGGACCCCCCCCGGGCCCCAAGACAAAACGGGGGAAAAAGCCTCTTGAAGATATGGTTGCTCAAGTTTGCCCCTATCAAAGTCACCCCCGACGTGATAGGTTCAAGGAAGCACCCCCAGTATCTGACTTGACTCCTGCCTAAAAACAGTCAAAGTAATGACCCCAGGTGGTCCTTTTGGTTCGCCATCAAAACCACGCTTCAATAAACACACACACAGACTATTCCCTAACTGGCGGTTTGGTTTGGTGGTTTGGACGTTGCTACCTTCCCCAAGTAAAAGGTGCTGCCCCGTGCACGAGGTTTAGCTCGTGGCTCCCGTGGGAAACATCGTCACTTCCCAAATCAGCTAAGGTCAGAGAAAGTCTACGTCTAACCGGGCAAAACGTTCGCAAACGCAGCTTGGCCTCCAAAAAGGCCGCATGGTTTTGGTTTTCAGACCCCAGAAGAGGTGGCTTAGACGTTGGTCCGTTGCCTCCAAAAAGACCGCATGGTTTTGGAGGAGGCTTAGACCTTGTTCCAACTTTGGGGCTGCAAAAGGAGCGCGGGTTCCAGGCTGCCAGAGGGCAAGTAGTGCTTAAGGTCCCCTGCGTGTTTTATCGCCAGTAGTGATAGATCCCCTTTAAACCGACCAGGAAACAAACAAGTCGACTCCTACAAATAGGTTCCAACAGTGGGTTACACACATTTGTATGGTCGCAAGACTCACCCCCTACTAAAAATGGACAGAACCAGAAAAGGCTAAACACCTAAATGCGTAAACACACCACAAAAACTGCTTTGGGCTCTTTTCCTACAATTTGACTGGACAGAACCAAAGAAACTGAACGCCAAAAGAACGTCAAGAAACCTCGTTTCTTACAGCCCCCTACCAAAGAAAAGGATAGAACAAAAGAACAACAAAAAAACTGAAAACTATGCTTCCTGCAGGTTCTACAGAAAGTGGGCAGAACCAACTACTTTTTCAAACACTTTCCAACAAAAGGGACAATGAGTTCCCTTCCCCCCTCCCCCCATTCCAGTCTAAGACCAAGCGCCGCTGACCAAAAAAAAACTTGCCAACAGTGAAGTGAGTCGCAACATGATTGAACTCTCGGCCCTTGGCCCCAAGAGCGTCCCCCAGCTTCTTGATGGCCTCGACCAGCGGCGTGTGCATCAGGATCAGCGCAATCTTCGCCGCCGTGGGATAGGCGTCATTGGTGGACTGACCCTTGTTCACCTCGCGGGGAACGGATCCAGAAATATAAATATAGAGATATAACTATGTATATATATATTATAACATATGTATAAGATATACATATATATATATATAATATAAAATGTATTATTCAGTTATTTTGTTAAGCAAAAAACAAACTAAACTGGAGCCAATAGACCAAACCAGGGGCTGCCGGGATTTCCCCAATCAAAATTCAATATCAATTTTCGGGTGGTTAGTTTCCATCGAAGCTGCCAATTTTGGAGGTTTCAGAAAAGGGAAATGGAGGAAACCCTGTAAACATGGTTGCCAAAATGAGAATCCCAACAATGGTCTCTAAGTAGGGAACCCTCGCAATTGGTGGGTGTCCTTGTGCCCTTGTAGTCAAAAGGTCGGTTTTCGCTTATTGAGTCACGTCGTCATTGGGGTGGCAGAACTCGTACTCGCCCTTCTTCTTCCCGAGGTGCTCGAGCGCGCGGTTCGCGATCACCTCGTTGGCGTTCATGTTCCTTGATCCGGCCCGAAAAACCGCGAGCCGGCGAAAAGGGAGAATGGAAACCAGAGAGGGTTTGCATTCTGAGAAGATGAAGCGAAGATGACTTTTGAAAGGCCAATTGAAAGGGAAGCCGTGGAAAACCACAAAGGCAAAAATGTGCAAAAAAGGTTTTTAGGCCCTCCAACCCTCCCTCGGCCGCTCGGCCATGGTTCGTGGAGGTGCCAGCGCCACCCTGGATCATGTCCACCAAGAAGTCCCGGCGCATCTTTGTGCCCCTCGCTTGCCCGAAGGACATGGGAAATTTGCAAGTCACTCCTCACCTACCCCCTACTCCAAATACCCTCTTTTTTAAGGGTATCATGCCGACCCGCTGCTAACAACGGAGGTATTTACCACGGGAAACCAGGTGTTCCCAAAAATGCCCTGAAAAAGGTGTATTTTGAGTCGGGGTAGTTTCTTACGTGTGCTGGGTAGTTTAGTGCGTGGTTAGTACTTAGACGCTCGTTGCGTCAAGTTAGTAAGTCGTGAGCCACTTGGCCTGAAAGAGCCCAAAATTGGAACCGGTACCATTTTTGGGGTTGGCTTAAAGGAAGACCAACGAACAAACTGATGCCATTGTGGATTTTGGGGTCCTCTAAAGAAGGACCCACCCACATGACCTCCTGCTCAGTCGCCCGAAGCCAACCTTTTCACCTTCTGGTTTTTCCAGCTTTTTCGCGGTGTTTGTGTGGTTTGGTCACCATTTATTTTGTGTCAAGGTCCCAAAAGCTGATCCATCAGCTACTTCGTCGGCCACTGAGCCAAGCAAATCGCTTTTGCCTCCTTGGGTCCCGAAGGTTGACCAAGCAAAAGCCATGTCTAGTCGCTTCAGGGAAGGTCCCAGGGAACCAAGTTGTTGGAAAGCTACTTGGCTGAAAATTCGCCAAGTTTATGAACGTCCCCGTTCGCCTTGTAACTAGGTGTTGAAAAAAAGAGCATGACCCAACAAAAACGAGTCAACACCAAAAGCCGCACGCGCATGCAGCTCATCCAATTTCCGCGCCTGTTCTCGCCCAGGTCGGTGCACTCGGGGTCGATGAGCTCGTCGCAGGCGTGGCAAATGGCCTCGGCTTTCTCCTTCGCCAGGTGCCCCAGCTTGTGGTTCGCCATGGCGCACGCCTGTGGCTGCGCATGCGCGCATGCGCATGCGCGCATGCGCATGCGCATGCGAGGCTGGTGGCCCGGTACCCCAAAAGGAAGCCCTGGAGTCTTCTGCTCCCCTGCTAAAAGTTCTTGACTTCTAGTGGCTTAATACGGAAAACCCAGTAGTTGGTGAAAAGTTAAAGTCCTAACATCCAAGCAAGATGCACCTCGGTAGTGGTTCCTGGGACCAAAACATAAAGGTGTCCGGTGTCCGAGCCAGTTCCCTCTGAAGGGAACCAAGACTTTGCTTGGTGGCGCGGGTTAAAAGCAAACGGGTTTCCTCCACGTCCCTTGTTGGACAACCTTTTATTTGGGGACAAGCCTTTGCTTAACAGCCCGCGGGAAACACAACGGGGCTACCTGAATTTCCTGCAGTCAAAAGTTGAGAACACTTCCATGGAAACGATCGCCATTTTTGGAGGTTGGTAAAGAAGAGGGTTTCCGAGCCATTTCCTTTTTGGGGCAACCTCCAAAAGTGGAAATCGGTCACTCTAGAGCAAACCACAAGTAAAGTGATTTCAACTCTTGATATGTTGACCCCTGCAGTGGCCCTGGCAAAAAAGGAGCCCTTTTGGGATTGACCGTGTTTAGAGGGGAACCCTTAAGATGCGAGTTATTGGGAATTGACTCGTTTGCGGCCGTAGGAAATAGTCCCAAAAAGGGTCCCCAAAAAAGGGCTTTGGGGTTCCATGTAAGGGTTGTGGCAAAAATGGGTGTGTTAAAAGATTGGGTCCTTTATCATGGTTGCTTAGCCCCTGGGCAAAAAACCAACAAAGAATCTGAACCCCTTGATTCACCATGAATCCACCAAACTAAGCCAAAAGAAACGGGATTCCCATCCAATGTGTACTTTTGTCACTTCAAAGGGTGTCCAACTTGGCTCACAGACTCTACCCAGAATGAGTGGTTGTGACGTCTTTTGGCACAAAAGGCTAAGTTTGGTTCCCAAACAAGGAAAACCAACAGGTCAAAGCACAATTCGCCTTGGGCAAGTATTTCACCACTCTCAACGCCATCCCGTTCAATGGTAGTTGTTTTTCTTCTTTTCTCCGGGAAGCCCACCAACCAGTGTCTGACTTTAAGGTCCAGAAACAGTCATTAACTAGGTCCTCCAGTAGAGAGGTTAGAATAAGGGTACCAACTTTTTTCTCCAGTCTATTTTAGTAGGGGGAACCTTCCCAACCAAAACGAAACGGTAAAAGTTGGCAGCTAGCTGGGGGACTTAGTTAAGGAAGAGGAACACGGCCCTGAGCCATTTTGGGGGGCGAGCTCCAAACAAGACAGCCCCACACACGGTTAATTAGCAGACACTTCGTGTTTGGAGGCACACAAACAACCAACCGACCAAACCAACCGACCAACCAAACCAACCAAACCAACCAACCAATCAGCGTTTATTGATATGGGGGTGCTTCTCCCTGGTTTTAGCAGGGGTTCGTCGCTTTTGGGGGGACCGAGTTAAGCTATTTGACCCCCGTCAGACGGGCAGTACTTGAGCCGTGGCCTTCTTCACCTGCGCCAAGGCAATGATGAACTCCGGGAAGTTCCGCAGCAGGATCCCCGTGATGTTGTAGTTCTCCTTCCATCGACTACGCCGGAAGGAAACATGAGAAATCAGTCCAGCAGTGCTAGACTCCCTTTCAACACCCTACAAAACCTGCAGGGAATTGCCCCCAAAAGACAAAATGAGAATACAGTCCAGCAGTGGTAGGTTCCCTTTCAATACCCTACACAATTCTTATTCCAGTAGTGATCGTCTCCCTGCATTAGGGTGAAATTCAAAAAAACAACGGCAACATTTGAGGTGGTCGGTTCTTGGGGTGAAACACGCCAAAAAGGCGGATGGTTTCCCTTCGAAAAAAACCACCGGAAAAAAAAAAAGGCGCGGTGCGCGGGCGGCGACTCCGAAGAAGCGACTCGGACCGGAGGTCTCCACCGCGCGGAGGGTCTGCACCCCGTAGTAGGCCTCGACGGGCACCTCGCGCTGGCCCAGCAGATCCTTCTCCGTGCGCGTGGAGTCCGGATCCACCTCGATGGTGGGTTTCCTTAGGCCAGAGGTTGGGTTGGGTTCGTGGGGTTGGGTTCGTGCGGGTGGGGGGGAAGGCTGGGGGTGGTTGGGGGGGAAGGTTGGGGGTTGGGGGGAAGGCTGAGGTTGGGGGTGGTTGGGGGTGGGTTGGGCTTGGTGGGGGGGGTTGGGGTTCGGGGGTGCCCAGAAATGAGAGGTTCAGCTTTTGGAGCCTGAAGACCATGGGTGCCAAGCCGAGGCCAAGAAAGCCAAATCTCAGAGATGGCTACCACTAACTGCCCCCAAGAACTGGATTCCGGATGGGACAATACAGCCCATATAGCCACATATCCCAATTTGGTAGTGACCTTCCTCCCATGCTGTGGCGCCGGGAGAGCATCTGAAACATCAGTTTCCTCTTGGAGGGACCATTCCGCTTCCATGCGTCCATGGCAACGGAGAGAGGGTAACCTTTTGGGGCCACGAAAAATGGTTCTTCCCAAAAAGGGGAAAGTAAACCTGGTGCTCAGTAGGGAATGCCCTTCCCTTGAAGGAAGCCACCAGTTCATGGTTTCTCTTGGGGTCATTCCAATTTATTCCCTGCTTATCGCACCAGCAACTAAGACAAAGCACAAAAACACACACCCAATACCCCTTGCAGTGCTATGTACTCTCCATATCCACTTTGAAAACAACTTCCCTGAAAGTCAGGTCAAAAACAGGCCATTCGAACCTTCTTTGGCCAAAGCTTCCGCATGGGGTTGGGCGAGAAGGCGCCGTCCATTGAGCCAGATCGGGGCTTCGACATGGCGACAACTAAGCCTGGAGATGTCTTCAAAAGGGCACGTAACTCTACGTCTTGAGCCGAAAGACCCGAGTGAATGAACACATAAGCACATCTAGCTTGATCTTACGTTTTATCATGTTTTATCTGCCTCATGCCTGCTTGATGTGTTTCTTCTTCTTCTGTTTGCCTTCCCTCGGGAGAGGAAGCCAAGAATCCTAGCGACTCAGGGCCAGGGGAAGCTCAGAGGCTCGGCCGAAATTGACCCGAAGGCAATGTGAGAAACCCGCAGGACAACAAAGAAAACACGCGCATGCGCAGAGGGCTCCGGAAAAAAAAAGATGCATCCAAAGGCCAACTTCAGAAGGAGGCACTTTTCTCATATCAAACTCTTCAAGAAATTGCATCCTCTAGGGTGTGTCTTGAAATAGGGGACCTTCCAGCTTCCTTTTAAAACCACGAGCCTCTCAAAATTTTAACATGGTCTACCCAAAACCATGTACTTAATTCTGCTTGGAGCTGTTTTTCCCCAACAGCTGAAAGCTTTGGGGTCTCAGCCTAGTTAGGCTCCGGGGTGGTCCGGGGCGTCCCTGAGGTAAGGTTCCACGAGGGTTCCACCAGGCTGCCACGAGGTTCTGCGGGGTGGTGCGGGCACTGAAAAGAGCGTGGCAGGCTGTTGGGGATATCACATGAGCTTATTTTTTTTTGGGGGGGTGGAACGCCAAAATTGTGGATTTTCGTGTTGGTGTCCCTTTCCCACCACAAGAACGGGGTACCTGAGCTTGTTTGTTTACTAATCTTCACTCCCCTGGGTTTTGCCCATGGCTCCAAAGTCGCAAACGTCCCCAGTGGCTCAATCACCAAGAGCCGACCCGCTGGGTTGAAGTCTACCTTGCCCCCCCCCCCCACCCAAAAAAAGACAAAAACGAGACACGCTGTCCCAACAACAGCAACAAAACACACATATGTGTATAGATGTGTGTATATGTATATACATGTATATTACAGCCACACCTTAAAGTGCATGATTTAACCCCCCCCCAAAAAAAAAAAAAAAAAAAAAACGGCTCGCTGGGCTCGATGGCTTCGACCGAGCCGGCGGGCGTCGTAGCCGGAGATGACCTTCCCGAAGACCACGTGCTTGCCATCCAAGTGGGGGGTGGCCTCTCGGCTGGAGAAAGATCGCCCACCCGCCCAAAGGACGTGAAACAAAAAAGGTCCAAGGTGAAATCACCAGAATTGGGGCATCTGCGAAGGAAGGGACCTGGAACGAACTCCTTAGCGCGAAATCACCCGGATTGGGAACCAGCAAAGAGGGACAAGGGAGAAAAAGAACTGGGACGCCCAAAGGCAGGGACCTGGAACTGAGGGGCTTGATCAAAAGGTCCGTGATACATGGGATGACCATTGGTTGGAAGGCCACTCAACAAATGATAAGTTGGAAAAGTTACCCATGGTCATTTGGGGGCCGCACGGAATCTTGATCCACCCCCCTTCACAAAATCCAAGGTCAGCGGACTGGGAACCAAGTGTGGAAATCTGAGGACCGAATCAGGGAAAAAGGACCCAACAGCTCGGAAATCAAGGGTTTTTTTGCGGTCACCTTTTCGCTGTCCAAACTGATCCGCTGAAAGTTTCTCTCGGGATAATTTGACACCCAACTGCCCCCCCCCCAAAAAAAAAAATGAAAGAAGCAAATCGGGGCCGGCGAGCTGTGGAACCTGGACTACATATGGACCAACTCAGGGAATCCAAAGGTCAGACTAGGTCGGCTCTCTTGGCCAATTCGATTTTGGATTTCAGCCCTTAAGCCAGCCTTCAAGAGACCCCTTTGCCAATCCAAGGATTCAAACATGTTGCCTTTCAGGGCGTGGACAACCGATCCATACCCCGGTTGATTCAGAACTAATTCTCTTGCTTCGAGGGAATGCGTTGCAAGGACCCTAAAACCAGACTGGGGTGGTTGCCTTCGAATCCCTCGGTTGATTTTCACAAGCCCTGAGAGCCAGCAAGTTTGGCTCTCAACGTGACCCCCACCCCCCAAGTCCAAGTGGTAGGTTCGAGGCGAACAACCTCAGCTGACCCAACTTTGTTTCCCATCAACGGCCCCTTTTCTCAGGGGACCCAAGGCATCGACTCCTAAACGGGCTCAAACGGGAGCCTGAAGCCATGTAACAAACTCCTCGTGGCTTTCTGAATCACTGAAGGCACTGAAACGGGGGCCCTTAATTATGACCTGAGACCCTCTCTCAGGTGCCGAAAGCCCGCGAACTCCGGCGAAATCCGGCGAAGGAAAAGCGGAGCGACCCACCAGAACGACGCTTTGGCCTTCAGTTTCTCACCCCAAGGGGCCCTGGGAATCAAAGGTGAGCCACTTTCTGCCAGGGGCACCCACAACCATGAAAAAGGAAAGTGGTCTTCAAAAAACCTGTTTTTTGCAGAATCTCGAAAACAACCCATGTTTTTCATGGTTGCGAGGGCCACAGGTGGAACCAGCACGCTATACAAGAAGTCAAACCCGGCGGGTTTATGATCCAGGAGAATTTGCTGGCTCTTGTAAGTCAAGCCGCTAGGAAACTCGATGCATGCTCGGTTTTCTTGTTTTTTTTTTCTTTTTTGGGAGGGGGGGGGCCCTTTTCCAATACCCTTTTCCAACAAAAGTGGACAAGGGACTTCCCCAAAGATAGCCTCCGATCAACATGTCAGCTTCCATGGCTGGAGAAGTGAAGAAGGGTGGGCAAAGACAGACAAAACCAGCAGGTACCCTTCCTGCCACGCACAAATCGCATTTATGGGGAGGCTGCCTCAGATCGATTTCCTCCAAAACCCCCCTCTCAGGTGCCATGGCAATGACCGGAAGTCGTGTCGCTTCCCGGCTTCCACATTCCTTCCTTTCGTTTGTCCGCCCCACCGGCGGAACGATGCGTACGGAAAAAAAGAGAAACAAAAACGAGGAAAACAACAAAATGTGTCCTCCCCTCCTCCCCTCCTCCCCTTCCTCCTTCCCCCCCCCCTGCAAATCGACCGGAAAAAAAAACGGAAAAAAGAAAAAACGAGGCTTCGTCGGGTGGCCTTCACTGTGATGAAGAACTGCGAGCCGTTGGTGTTGGGCCCAGAGTTGGCCATGGACAACAGGCCCTTCTCCTGAGGGGCCGAAGCTCGGGCTCCGGCCGCCGGGAGGGGTGGTGCAAATCGAGTGGGCCCGGAAAACGGACGGGGCAGGGGGCTTCTCAAATCCAATCGAGTGGATGGGCCAAACAAATGGTCAGGAACTGGTTGCTTTAGTATGGTAACCAAACCCAGAAAGGGACTAAAGCCCAGGAACGCAGAAAGTGAGAACCTTCTTGGTATTGGGCCCCTCCAACAGTGGCCTGAATCCCTACTCAAATTGCACACACACACACCCCATCAAAATCAGAGAAATCCGAGGTTGCTGTTGAGGTAAAACCTGAATGGGGTTGGGTGTTCACTACCCTTTGGCCGCAAAACATCTGGGAGGCTTCAACACTTTCAGCTGAATTATGACACCACTCAAACCAACACCCTGGGTTTCAAACGGTCGTCAAAGTGCACATCGCGATGGAAAATCTAAGCTAAAGTGAATCCGTGACAGCCAAAGTTCTCAGTGGAGTGGCCGAACGAAAAACCTACTTCCTTGTTTACCGACTGTGTTATCTTCCACCAGGACGGTCTTGACAAAAGGCATAAGTCCGAGAACTCGTGAGGGTCATCTATCCAAGGAATGCAGCCCTTCTTCGAGGGAATTCCTTGGATCGGCCATCAAAATGCCTCCATTTGCGTGGTCGTCCCTTAAAACAAACGTGTTTCTGGTCGTGAAATCGATTCCCTTTAAAACCATCAGGGGAAACTAGAACATATTCGTTTCAGCAAATGGAAGTTACACACCTGTGGTATCCCATTCGGGGGGGGTGGTGTTTGCATGCTTTGAAGGGCCCTGTTCAGTGGCCAGAGGTGTCAGTCCCGCATTTCTGGGGTCGCCCCCACTGGTTCTCTTTGTGTTGGATTACGTGGAAAATGATCCAACATTCAAAGACCTTTCATTGGTCTAGCCCCTTATCTCGTGGATGTTGTGCTCGTTTCTTTCGTTTTGGAGGGGGCAGAAATGGTGTCAACGTCAACAGGTCAGAAGTTTCATTCCACAACGACCTTCTGTATCTTCATGAACCTCTGGCTAAGACTTTCAAAATTTTGCGCCCAGGAATCGAAGAACACTTTCAAAGGGGAATCCATGAGAAGGGGAAGGGCTGGTAGGGGTTCCTTCACAGAAACATCCCTTCACACCCGCTGATTTACAAAGGCCCCAGCTGGTATCCTTTAAGGGGAGCCCAAGCAAGGCAAAAAAAAGAAAGGAACCAACAAACACAACAACCAAACAAGCCCAACCAAACAAAGCCCAAAAAAGGCAAGAAAAGCAAATCAAAGCAACAAAAACAAACTAAACAAGCAAACAAAGCTTCACAAACAACATGCACACAAATCCCAAACAAGCCTTAAACATACTCCAAGCGCGCATTTTTCGGTTGGATCTCCGTGTGTCTCATCTGAAAGTTCTCATCTTTGAACTTGGCACCGTAGATGGACTCCCCGCCGGTGCCGTCGCCCTTGGTGAAGTCCCCTCCTTGGCCTCGCCAGGGCGCGCATTGGCGCGGGGCCGGGAGGTCTGGGTGGCCGGGGGTCGTTTTCGCGGGAGGTCTGGGGTCTGATAAGGGGTCGCTTTTTTCCACGCAAAAAAAGTGGCAAAGTTGTGGATGCCAACCAAACCTAGGTAAATTCAGGGACCCCTGGGGTGTTCCCCTCCAAAACTGATAAATCCCTACTAAACCAGGGACATCCCCATATTACACATGGGTTTTTTTTTTCATCCGGGGTCAACATTGAGGGGTTGCATTTCCACGGAAAAAAAGAAAGAACAAAAAGTGGCGAAGTGGTGGATGCCAACCAAACCTGCCACTTTTGAAGGTGCAAAGAAGGTAGTTTCAGGCTTACACTACAACCAGAGCACCGTTTGGGACCAACAGACGAAAACAAGTTGCCAAGAAATGGGGAAACCCCAAATAGGTTAAAACGTTGATCCGCTTTGGCCAACTGAGAAGGTGATCACCTTTTGGACCAAAAGGCAAAAGGAAAAAAACACAGGCCAGAAGGAGAACAACAAGTGCAAGTTAAGTGCAAGAGGTTGACATCTTGGAAGCGAAAGCCTATCAGCTACCATCGAGTTGGCTGCTTTTTGGAGCCGGAAATTGTGGTTTCGAGGTGTTTCGGGGCGCTGTTTTGCTTCTCTACTTCAGAACCAGGGGTTCAACTCATCCAAAATGACCAGCAATCTGGAGGTTGCTACCCTCCCACACATGGAACCTGATGTTCGGGGGGGTGCTGGTTTGGACCACTTTCCTTTTAGAGGGACTTGGTCCCTGTCAGGCTCCATGTTAATTGGTGGGAGGGCATCTGACAAAAAACAACATAATCCAAAGCAGCGTTCTCTTTAAAAGCCAAAGTTGGGGTGTGACAATGCTGCAAAATGTGTCCAAGGACTTTGCACCCAGGAGCTTCTTCGTGTTGAAGAGACCCCTGTAAAAAAAAAAACAACAAAGAATGGCTTCCCATGGTGTCTGATGCTCGTTCGACTCCGTTCTTAGCGGGAAAGCCCAAAGGGAAGGAGAGAATTTCCCCCCCCGCCCCCCCCCCAAAAAAAATCGGTCAGATCCATCGCTCAGCTTCGAGGTGAGTCGCACATGAAGCCCGGGATGATGCGGTGGAACACGCAGCCCAGGAAGTTCCTAGATGGGAAGGAGAGTGTGGCTCAAAACCCAGCTCAAAAAACCGTACCAAAATGGAACCCTGGTAAGTGGAAACATGGACCAAACCTGCGTAACCCCTCCTGTTTAATTTTGACCCACGGCCATTTGTTGGTAACCCTCCTTTTGTTTGGTCCATTTTAAAGGGAGTTCCGGGGGCACCGGGGTTTGGAGCCGCATCCAAGTCGCAACAGGTGGTCCTTCTCCCAAAAGAGCGATTTTTTTCCCTGTGCAAAGTAGGGGAATAACACCCATCGAGCAAAAAACCAGTGAAACCTAAGCTCTCAAAAGAGCGCGCCTCTGATCTGAGGGCGTCCCATCAAGAGCCATCGGGCCATTGAAGCTTCGTCGGCCTCTTGGGTAAGGACCTTCAGAGCCAAACCCGGCCCGGCAAGATTGGCCAAGACTCAGCATCGAACTCCTGAAACAGGGCAAGCTAAACCACCCCTTTGAAGGCACACCTAACACCTGTGTGCTTTTGGGGATGCCGCCCCCTTTCCGGGCTTCATTTTTGCTTCAACCTACATGGCCATGGGTCAAAATCCCGTACCCCCAGTGAACTCCCAATCCCCAGTAAAATAGATTAAAGTGGGTGGTGCACCGAAAGCTCCAAAAATGGGATCCCCTCGGTGTTGCCCACCACGGCCACATCCGGCCGGGCCGGGCCGAATCCATCCCGGCGAATCCATCCGAATCGATCCATCCGCAGCCGGGGCGCAGGCGCTTGCCGTGCTTGCCCTTGCCCATCTCTCCGGTGCAGAGGGCGCGAAAGTTCTCCGCGGTCTTGGGCACAACGTGGGCGTAGAGCTCGAAGACCACCTTCCCCACCGGCCTCGCAGACGGCTCAGTGCGAGCGCGAGGCCGAAAAATGCCGAGGGAAGCCCCGGTGAGCAGGAGATGGGACTTGTTTTGGGGAGGAGGTTGGAGGGGGGTTGGGATATATTTGGTTTTTTGTTTCTTGTGTGGTTTTGGGGAGGGGAAAGGGTTTTTGGTGGAATGGCTTCCCGGCGTCCCTTTGCCTTCAACCATGGCATGGAAGCTAAAGAACATACCCCTCCATCAACCAATCTAAGATAAAGGAGAAACCGTATCCTTGTGAAATCGAAACTCTCTGCAGTTCCAGGCTTGTTTTCACACCACTGGCCCTGGCATCTGCAGGGCAGAAACTCCAAGTCACGTATATGGATACATATGTATATATAGAAATGTGTGTGCATATATATATATACGTATATAAATGAAGGTATATATATATATATACATGTATATGTTTGACTGGCTCGTAGAGAACTGCTCTCCTTTCTGCAAGCATTAGCTTAAAAATCGCCGCCAAGCCGCTGGCCATCAAAGGCGATCTCGAAGAACACCAAGGGGTTCGCACCCGCCATCGGCTTTGGAGCGAGCGCTATCCCGCCCCACCCCGAAGGCGGCGATTCGCGGAGCGCCTCGCGTGGAGTTTCTCGCTTTGGAAACTGCCGGAGGCGCCTCCGTCCCTTGGGCCCGAGCCGCGCGAGCGGCTCGTCGGGGACATGTTTTTTTTCCGCGCCCGAAAGGGTGGCAGGTGGCTTGCGAGGCAGGTGGGTCCGGTATGCCTTTTGTTTGAGGCTGCCGCGTTTTGTTTGGTACAAAGGGAAACCAACTCGCCAGACGTCGCCAGACCTTTTGTCGCAACCGCCTCCGCCGCCGTGCAAAGCATGGCGCCACATCCGTGTTTCTGGGGCCTTTGACCCAGACCGCGCCCATTTCCATGAGGCGCGGGTTCGACTTGGGGGGGTTCTTGGGTCTTTCCCGATATTTCCCTTTTAAGACTTGGGTGTTTTTTTTTTTTCCGGTAGAACCAACTAAAAAGGTACCCTCAACAAAAGACAGACCCATTGCCTGGTTTCCTTCTATCGCCCGTGTTCCCCCTTAACATACATGTTCTTCTTTCTTCTCATTGCCCTCATCTCCTGCTTCCCCTGGTTCTCCTGGTTCCTTTGTTTCCTTTACCCACTTCCTAAGTGCATTGCCCAGAACAAGTCCAAAAACTATAGTGTTACCACTAGACATGACCACCAAACCCAACCAAACAAACGAGCCCAGGCTGGCTCAGGGCGCGAGCCGATGGATCCGCAAGCCGTTCACTTGCAGGCGGCCCAGGCATAGCAGGCGGCGGCCGCTTCCAGAGCCCCTCAACCGCGACGCGACGGCGCGACGCGAGGTTCGATGGCCCCGTGTTTGGTTGGTTTTAACTTCAAGATACATTTTGGGCCACTGCTCCGTTTGAATTTGAGGGGGAAACGAAAGGAACCCATTGCCGTTTTGGGTTTGGGGCTCCTTTTCGTGGACACTCGAGCTGCGAAGGCCCAAGTTCAAGCCGAGCTTCAGGGACGAGCTCCACAATGAGCGAGCAAAGCCACCAGCAAGAGGTGCACTCCGTTCCAGAGCTGGTGCATGAGGATGGCCGTAGTCCTCATGGCTGAAACGGGACCCCTGCAAAAAACTATCTATTTGTTGCCTGGTTAGTGGAAAACAAAGGGGACCCCAAAAAAACCAAAAAAAAAAAAAAAGAAGGGGGAACTAATTCTGGGGAAGGAATTGGGTGTGGCTCAAAAATTGAAAGAGCTAGGCTTACGCAGGTCTTGGTCCTCCAGTAGAGAGGTTGGAATATGGGTACCAACTTTTTTCTGTGGTCTATTTTTGTAGGGGAACCCTCCTCCAAAAAAGAAACTGCAAAAGTTGGCAGCTAGCTGGACCCAAGGCGCCATTTTGGTACATTTTGCGGAGCAGCCAATCGGCCATCCATAACCCAGGGGTGTTGACCCCAGCGTGTCCATCATGCAAAGCCTTGAGCTTCGGAGGATACTTGAACCCACATTTCTATAGGCTGGAATTAGGACCCCAGCAAATATCTATCTATCTATCTATCCATCTATCTTTTTTGCCTGGTTAGTGGAAATCAAAGTTTGAAATGCAAAAAAAAGCGAAAAAAAAAGGCAAACGGGGGAGCTAATTCTGGGGAAGATGTGGAGATGATTTTCGAAGATGTCACCTTGACTCAGTTGCCCAAAGGAAGGCGCCGACCTTTTAGAACCTCTGATGGACCAATATTGGAAAGGGTCGAAAGGTTAATTCGCTTTGGGCAAGTGCGCTAAAATGAAGGAGTTGTACCACCCAACTTTACGAATTCCGTTCTCCTTGGCTTCCTTCTCGCATCACTTGTGGACACACACAATTTCTTGGAGAAAGGGTGTGAAAAACAGCAAGTAAGTCAGTGGGTGTGTTGCTTTTTCCTTTTGATTTCCCTACAAACCCCGAAGAAAGGTGGTACCAACCCAAAAAAAAGAACCGTGCCCATGGACCCAGACCAAGCAGGAATCATGAGTGACTCATTAATTGGGACGAACAAAACAGCAAAACCAGGGAACCCATCTATTTCCAACCAAACGAACCTAGAAAGGACACCTATGCCGCACCAAGCTGGAATCCCCTTTCCCACAAGGGTGCGCCTATTTTGAGGCCCCACAAATGTTGTTTCTTCCTTTTGGTTTCCATTGAAGCGCGCTGAACCCGTCTTTGGCCCAAGGCAAACCAACCTAAAATCTGACTCCGAAAGTGCGACCAAGTGGGGTTTGATCAAGATTCCGTTCGGCCCCAAACTGACCATGGGCAACATTTATCATTTAGCGGCGACATATCAAATCTGTTTTGTGGCTTTCCCACCAATGGTCATCCCATGTTCATCATACCATTTGATCAACCCCCACGTTGAGTCACAACCAAAACCCGGAACGAAAATGGTTGACCCAGAACCATGCAAGGAAACACGAAGGCGGATTTCCGCCGCTGTTGCTGGCTGAGACTTTTTCCCTACAATCATCTACCCAGGTTTTTCGCTGGCTCAAGTTGGCCACCCCCCTTCCCCCCAAAGGCCTTTTAGGCCCTTTCGGCCAAGCGAGGGGTAGAGGCGTGACATCGATTCCAACTTCAAACCCGGGGAAGGGGAAAATGATATGGTTCTATTCTTACTTATTTGAAAAAGGAAGTCTGAAGCAAATGGAAGATCCCCTTTCTCCCCCTTTCCCCCAGAGGCAAGACCCTTTCACTCAAATGCCCAGTGGCCATGGGAAAAAAAGGATCGGCATCCTTTTTGGTTGGTTGACTTTGAAGGGGAACCCTTCCCAAAAAAAGTTGAAAAAAGGAAGCAGCCCCAAAGCGAGGAACTGGGCAACTGGGTAGCGGAAAACCCCTTCATGTCAACCAAAAAGAGGGAAAAAAGAAGTCTGAATCAAATGGAAGATCCCCTTCCCCCCCCCCCTTCCCCCCCCCTTTCCCCCAAAGGCGAAAGCCCGTTTGGCTGGTTGACTTCCATGGGGAACCCTTCCAAAAAAAAAGAAGCAACAAGCTACTGGGCGCCGCGGGTGCCACTGGGCAACCGGTTTGGCGAAGTCCGAGGGGCAGGGACCCGGTCTTCAACGTCACCAGGGCGAAGATGGCGCCCACCGAGGCCGTAGGCACCAGGGGCCGGAACCCGTGCAGCCGCCGGGGGTGGCAGTGGAAGAGCCCAAACCTGAAGGCATTTGAGAAAAGGCCGTGGGCCGTGGCGGACAGGTGGTCACGCGTTCAGCGCTTTTTTGGCTTGAAAAATGAGAGAGAACACCGGACCTGGAACCTGAGATTGAAAAGAACGCCTTCTGGAACCTGAAGGTGGTTATTTTTGTTTCAAGCCTGGGGAGAAAGTGTCAAGTGAGCGGGTTCTTTCCCTCGCGCCCGGTTTCCAGTAACCTGGAAATAAAGGTTATAACCTGCCGCCTTGACGAAATATAGACCAAAAGCTGAGAAACCAACAGGTTAGATCGATCGGTCGATTCGCCTTGGGCAAGTGAGAGGTTGACAAGCGGCTCAGTTTACTCCAGCATTCCTAGACGTCGGGGCCATTGAGGAGATCAGGTGGTACCCCCTCAGCCCAGTTTGGACGAGATACAAGGTCAACCAGTTAGGACCTTGACTAAACTTGAACAAAGCTCAAACGGTCGCTTTGGGACATATTCAGAGTGTGGTCTGGGCATGTTTGACAGCATGTATCAAGGTGCCTTTTGTGCAGGGGTCACTTTTTTGGGCATGTGGGACATGCCCTCCACCAGAAATCATCGAACTTCTTCAGAGGGGTCCTGTGTGAGGAAATGGCGCTCCATGTTTTGGGGAGAACCCTTTCGGTAGGAATCTTGATCCCATAAAGACTCAACGAGCACTTCTTTTGAGGGGGGTCCCAGGACCCTTTTTGGGCTAGGCTCCTCTGCAACCGGTGGAAAAGAACCCGAAATCTGTGGTGAAGTGGCTGATTCCCATGGCCACTTGCCACTTTATCACTAAAGGAACTCCTGGTGGCACTTTGCCTCCGGGCGGATACAACCGAATATTCCACCAGCCGAAGCGCCGGCTCATGGATTCCCGCCCGCCAAAACGAAGGCACCAGCAAACAGAGGCCGTGATGAGATGCGAAGCACAGACAAGAAACAGAGGATTCACTGGATCTCCTTGTCCAATGGTCCGAAAAATGAAATTGAGGATCTCATGTATCCCGGTGTCCAGCAAGCAAAAATATAGATGTCCAACAGTTGAGCCAGTTCAGGCATGTACCGGGGAGATTCGGAGACCCCTTGATGCTGTTGTCTTTGCAAAACATGGTTCTGCCTTGTTACAGACTAAAAAACGGAGACCCCCGCAAGCCAACAGGAACCAAATGAGCTTTGAGCTGACAGCCCAAACTGACAAAGACCCACAGTACTGTCCCCCTATGATTCACCAATACCCCCCCCCTCATCATACTGTGGATGGGCGAAATCCTGCACCACCTAAGAAAGCCTGGAATGATGATCCCCCCGTAGATGCAAACAAACGGTGGTTTCCCATGGCTTCAAGGTGGTGCGAAATGGATTTTGTCCATCCACAATATTAAAGGCGGACATTCATTAACACGCATGCCGAGCGACAGGAGGCTCGAGATGAGAATTGGCGAGGACGTGGTCATGCGCAAAGCCAGGAGTAGGAAGCCCCGAAACAAGAGCCTCCGATCGAGGCGTCGCCCTGACGCAAGCCCTTTTGGGACCTGAACAGTCATCCCCTTCTTGGGATCTCTAAAAGCGGACCACAATTGGACAACCAAAAGGTTCAAGGCTCAGTTGTGAAGAACTGAGACCCCCTGGGACAACCGAAAGGTTAAAGGCTCGGTTTTGAAGAACTGAGACCCTCAACCCCCATGGTGCAAGAGCTGTTTCACCCGATTTCTGTGAGCAAAAGGTCACAAAAGGTCACTTCATACTGTGGATGGATGCGAAATCCATTTCACTTTGACACCATGGGGCTCGAATCAGAAACCCCACCAACGGAACCCTGGAATGATGACTCCCCTGTAAATCCGACACCAGTCGAGCGTGTAGATGGCAGCCCGCAACTTGCTCCTCCTTCGGATCTCTTATCAAAGCCGAAGGCTTTTGGGGCTGCCATTTTTTGGGCATGGTGTGCTGGGTGTCCAAAACCCTGTAATTTTCCAGTGTTTTTGGGGCTTGCCTGCTAAAAACCTGCGTTTCGCCTAGGTCTCTAGCGGGGGGGGGTTTCCCCGACACGCAGGATCTGCATCCCCAGCAATCATCAGGGTTTCCTTGCTGCTATGATTTTGTCTCTTTTTTGTGCAGATACTAAAGTGATACGTTGAGGACGGATTGAATTTGGGAAAAATGAGTTTTTTGCAACTCCCAACCTGTACGGAGCAGTTGCTGCGAAACATCCCCTGCACTATCGTGTTTTTGGAAGTCTATTTCTATGGTATTTGAAGGGGGTTGCTAGTATCTGCTTTTGATGGTTGATTTTGGGAAATATCAACAAATCTTGGTTGGTTGGACTCTTTTGTGGCCAGCCGGCTGCATTCCCAGCATTCCCGGCATCTCTGGCATTTTCTGTGTTATGTAAATGTTGCGTGTCTGAAAGTCTTGAAATGTTCGATGCGAAGATTGGGTCTGTTCCTGTACGTTGTGTGGGCTGAGCCCTTGCATTTCCAGCATCCCAGCATCTGGGACATGTTTCCTGACTGAAAAATAGGAAAGTGCCAAGAAGGCCTTGTTGTGGCACTTTCAGACTTCCACGAAAAAGAAAAAAGGTCTTAAAATCCCTTGCACCCCACTTGGCGTCCGCGGATCGCGTAGCGATTTCAACATGATGTTTCAACCATGGTTTCTGATTTCGGTGGTGCGTTGGATGGATTTCGAGCCACCATCCACAGGGCCCCAAGCCCCCTGTAAACATGCCAACAGTCCACCCAGGCGGCGTTCAGTTATATACCCGGAGCTTGGATCCTTCGTGCGGTCGCCGCGCCTATTCGCCGCATGCCGATCTAAGGCTGGCAATCTTGACCAGCTCCTTTCACCCATCTCTGCCAGAGGGGTTTTTGACGAGTCTCTGAGAGAAAGGATTCGGAAGAATAATGGAAGAATGAGGGATGCAAGGGCCAGATGATTGCACGCGTGCTTGTTTTTTCTTTCTTGTGGTCATGACTTAGTTTTTTCTGGCACCCCACCCGTTTCAGAAGTGACTCGAGTCCGGCAACTCCATGACCGAGTTCCAGTTCACCGAATATGCAATGACCAACTGGCACGTTAGTGGAGATTCCCCTTTAAACCAACAAAGGGGAAACCAACAAAATGTTCCTCACTTCCTGAGTGGCCAGAAAGAGTCTGAACTTTTTGTGTCCCACTAACGGCAATCAAGCCCAAAACGTTACATTTCAGTCCGAGTTCCGGACCAAAAAGGGAGCGAGAACTGGAGGGAATTGGAACCTTGAACCAAATCTCATGGACCCCTCAGAAGGGCGAACTAGTAACTGGGGGGGGTTCTACCCCATAACTCCTTAACTCCTTATCCTTGGCTTGTTGGCTTACGCGGCTTCCTAGGGACAACCCCCCTCCGAAAATCGCTCCGATCGCTCCGACTTTCCGAGCGGCTCTTCAAAGGCCGGCGCCACCACTCCGACCAGCACAAAGAGGCTGGCCACCTGGCCATGAGTCAAAATCAAAAGCCTGTACCCCAGAAAACATCCCCCAACCAAAATGCCGCTAAAAGCCATGCTTCAAATTTGCAAGATGCATCTTTTAAGGAGCCCTGTTTGGCCACGGGTCATAAAATCCAAAGCCAACTCGTACCCCCAGCGAGCATCTCCCAATCGGCCGCTGAAATCGGCCAAAATGCGTGGTGAATTCACCTACCCCAGGATGGATGATCCCAATTGGTTTTGACCCACAGCCACCTGCCAGCTCCGAAGGCGCGCCACGCCGTGCTCGGGGCGCGGGGCACTTGCGAGGCGCTCGCGGGGCACTTGCGGCCGGTTGGTTGACATCTCGCTTGCTGCGCAGGGAGTGGGACATGGAATGACCCCCAGAAACCAGTTTGTAGGGTTTCCTTTGAGGGACACCCAGGTTCATTCCCTCATTCCCTGCTGGGCACGAGCAAGCTAGGGCAAGGCACTGAAAACCTCTCGTGCTAATTTGTTGCGAAACTTGAGGTTGTAGATTGCTGAAGCAACCTCTTATGTAACCTGCCAACGCAACATCCCAGTGCAACTTGCTAGAGCAACTCGCTTGTATTGCTTGCTAGTGCTATCGTTCTAGTACTATCTTGCCAGCGCCACTTGCTTGTGCTATCTTGCTAGTGCTATCTTGCTAGTGCTATCTTGCTAGTGCTATCTTGCTAGTGCTATCTTGCTAGCCGCCAGCCAGTGCATCTTGCTAGCGCAACTCGCCTGTGCTACTTGCTAGTATAATCCGCTCCAGATCTTTCCTGAAGAACCCTTCGCAGTGCTTTCGGGCAAAACAACCAATACTGTGGATGGACGAAATCCCGCACCACTTTCAAGCCGTGGTTGAAACCAATTCTTGTTTGTATTTATGTTGGGGAATCGAAACAGAAACCAGCATTTCTGATTTCGGTGGTGCGAAATACATGGATGACTCGCGTCACCATCCACCACCTAAGAAAACCCGATTTGATCCCCCAAAGCAAATACCAACAAACGATGGCGTCAAACACAGTTTCACAAAGCGGTGCGGAATGGACACTTCCCACCCCTGGGATGCCCAGTGGAATTGCATGGGAAAAAAAAGAATCGGCATCCCTTTTTGGCTGGTTGAGTTTCAGGGGGACACCCTTCCCCAAAAAAAGGAAGGGAGAAAACGGGGCGCGGGCGCCACTGGGGGCAACTGGTAGTTCCTCCCAACCGGCGCCAAGAAAAACGCCACCATGCCAACAGCCCACCCAGTAGTTCCAATATCCCTCTAAACCATTTCTTTGTTGGCATGTGCAAAGGAATCGAATCAGAAAGGATCCCGTCCACTCCCAACCGCCATTGGGGGCTGGGGAAAAGGGAGAGGGGGGGGGGGGCCAAATAAGCCCTTATTCGGCCTGCAAGGCCTTGTTTAGGGCATATTTCTGGGCTGGAATTCGAACCCCGGCAAAATGTTTAATCTTTTTTGCCTGGTTAGTGGAGAAAACAAAGGGGACCCCCAAAAACGCAAAAAAAAAAAAAAAAAAAACTTGGGCTCCCTCCTCCCCCCCAGCCCGCGATTTCCAGCGCCTGCGCCCCCGAGCTGTGCGCCAGGTGCTTGGCCGCCCGCAGCTCCGGCGCCAGAGGCGCCCCCAGGGGCGACACCTGGCCCCGGCCCAGCGGCGCCACCACCAGGCCTGCGGGTTGGGACTCGAGGGCCCGGAGGCGCCGCCAGGGGCAGCTCTTTTTGTTTGGATGGGTGGTTTTTAGAGGTGGCGGTTGGTGGGGTTTGTTTCTCTGTTTGTTGTTGTTCGTGTGGTTTTCGAGGGAATTCCAAGAGGTTTTAGGTGGTATGTATTTCTTGTTTCTCTGTTTGTTGCTTTTTTTCGGGTTCTTAGAGGGAAACCAGGAGGAAATTCTGGAAGGACACCACCCCATGTTTGGTGGGTTTTCCCAGGTTTGAAACAACAAGCACACGAGCACCACCCATTTTTGGCTTTAGGCAACTGAGAAAAAATGACACCCCCATTTGGGTCTGTCTCTTTGAGTTGGTATCCCTTTTTTGGTGGTTTCACATGGACATCGAAACAACCATTCCGGGCACCTTTAGAAAATGACCCCCCCAAAAACACAAAAGATCACAAAAGAACGAAGCCACGTCGGGTCCCCAAAAAAAAACACCACCCCCCCCCCCCATGCCTTCGGCATCCCCCCCCCCCAAAAAAAAAGAGACGGAGACCCCCCGCCGCTTTTTTTCGCCGGACATCGCGCGATGTCGGACGCCGCTTGCGATTCCGCCTGCGAGGACGGAGGCCAGCAGCCCGCCAGCCGCCTGGCGCCAGTTGGGCGGCTTCAGCTTCCAGGTGCCCTCCGGAAGGCGCCTGGAGGACTCGAGCGAGGGCGAAAGGGCGGGGAAGGCCGAGCTTCTCTCTGGGCTCATGGGCTCAGGGGTTACCTCAGTTGTTCAGTGACCCTGGAGAAAAAAAGGGAACCCGTGTTTTTGGGGAAGCATGTGTTTTTTTTGGTGGCGCAGGCACCCAAAGAAGAGGGGAAAATGGGGGCCACTGAACAACTGAGGGTTTGGAGAAAGAGTGCATGAGACATCTGCAAGCTGGAAAGTTGCAGAGGAAAGAGCCCAAGGCGAGTTCATGGCTCATGGAACCTACAATGGCTGAAACACAGCAGCAGCAAGAAGGCGACGCTGCTTTTTGGACTCGTGATGGTCGCTTTTTTTCAGGCAACCTTCATGACACTCTGCGAACAAGGCAATGTTGAGTGTTGACAATAACAATTGGGCTCATGGAACCTACAGTGGGTCTTCAACCAGTGTCAGCCAAGTAGGTGAGCTCCCATGGCTAAAAGTGGGATAACCCTTATTATGTCATTCCCTGCAACTATCGCATCAGCAAGTTGATCGTTCTCGCCTTCTTTTGGGTGTTTCCACAAGTGACATGACTAACTCGTGTTTTTTTTCTTTTTGTACTTTTCTTCTTTCTAATTGTGAATTGATTAGGCCTCCTCTGAATTCTAATTAGTTTTGTGTAGTCCGATTCGTTCTGCACAAGTAACCGCGCTGGGGAAGCAGACCGTGTATAGAAATCAGGGCGCATAGCAGGAGAGACGTGGGATGCGGGTAGGTTACAACTAGGGATATTTCAGGGAACTAGCCTCAGTTTACCCCACTTACCATGGGAGCTACCCTACTTACTGAGCAGGTTGAACATCGGCGATCGTTTTAGTGGAAACCGTTTTGGGATCCCCTTTAAAGAACACCGAATCGAGGATGGCCCTTGGGATCATTCCATTTCTCATTCCCTGCCTATCAAACCGGCAAGAAAATGAGAATTCTACTGGGCCACATGCCCGCACTCTCTTCAAGCCCAGCGCAAGCAAGCGCGCCACCAGCCAAGACGGCCTGAGGAGTGGACGAAGCGAAAGCCACGTGAGCACGTACGTGGCGAGTTGGCCCACCCAAAGCTGCTCAAGCCTCAGTCGAAAACATGCGGGAGAGAAAAAAAGGGAGTCAAACACCGGGGCGGAACTCCCTTCCAGCCTACCCCATTTGGGGGATGACTTTGATTTCTTGTACGATCATGGGCCAGCCGGGAAAACCAGAACCGCCAAACGGCCAGACGGCCTGTTCAGGACTGGACCTTGGCTCGGAGCTCTTAGGGATCTGGGAACTTTCAGGGACGTTTTGTGTGGGGCTTCCAGGGTCGCCCGGTCGCCATCGGTCGCCCGGTCCACCCACTTCAGGTGTCAACCTTCAGAACTTCAAGGCCCCCCAAAAATCGAGCAACATGTCGATCACCTTCTGTAAGGAAAAGCAATTTTTGTTTCCCGCAATGCTCAGAGAATGAGACATGGAATGACCCTCATAAACCATCCAACTGTTGGTTTCCTAGGGGAGCAAAGCCTGGGTTCATTCCCACATATCGCACCAGCAAGGAGGGGCTCCTCTGAGACCTTACCACAATGTTTGAACCGAAAAGGGCCAAAGCCGGGTTTGTGGTGACGCCATATGGCGGGTGCTTCCGGAAAAAACAACTCCTCCAGGGTTTGATTCATCTTCCATTCTTTCAACCATCGTTCTTTTCAAAATCGGCCCGTTTTCCGTGGGTTTCTTGTGGGTTTTTGGAAAGAAGGATCCCTGGAACGAACGGGGCGCGTACCCCCAGAACTCCGGCCACGCCACCACTCGTCGTGGCGGGGCTTGATGTAAGCCGCAAACTCCCCGGCCACGATGTACCAGACGTAAATCAGCAGCCTCGGTGTGGGTTTCAACCATGGCAAAGGCTTGGTTGACGTTGGGTTTGGGAGCAACAAATGAAATTTTGGCAGTTGAGTGGGGATTTCCCACTAAACCACAATAAGCAAAAATGTGTAAAATGTTTCCCAACAACAATCATCATGGCGTCGTTTGGTTTCCGCTTTGAAAACCACAAACCACAAAAAGGACCCTCAAAATCATAGAGACGCCCTAGTGGTTTGCGGGTGGGCAAGGTGTAAACACCCGTCTGGATTTGTTTTTCTTTTCTCTCTCTCTCTCTCTCTCTCTGTCTCTCTCTCTCTCTCTCTCTCTCTCTCTCTCTCTCTCTCTTCAGCTTCCTTGAGCCATGTCGAGCCCTGGGGGTCGAACCGGGACTATATCCACCAGAACAAGTTCCTGTTGCCCCAGGAGGAAACCGATTCTTACGTTCATGCCATGGATGTGTGCCAAGCAAGTCGTCGGAAAAGAACCACCCTTGGTTCCAATTAAAAGGTTCAGCCACGTGTGGGGTGCAAAAAAGTCGGACGTTGAGGGGCCCCCGTTGCTGGACCAAATGGACAAGTGAGCGCCCACGTTGTCATACATGTTTGCAGACTCTTGCTGCAAATGCCCAATGCAAACAAGGTACTTGGACCACTGACCACCTAAAGTGGCCACAGGTTTTGGGTGGGTTGGCAACCAGGGAGTAGGCACATGATTCACCCTGCCCCTTCGCTGGCTTCCCTCGACCGAGCAAAAGGGGAACCTTTTTTTTCAACCCTCCGAACCTTTTTTCTCAACCCTTCCCTTTTTTTATAACCCTCAAACCTTTTTATTTAACCCTCCCCCCTTTCTTTTAAACCCTCGCACCCCTCCTTTCTAACCCTCCCCCCTTTCTTTCCAACCCTCTACCCTTTCCTTTTTTTAACCCCTCTGCCTTTTAACCCCTCTGCCTTTTGCCCTGATGGGCCTGTAACCGAAGCATTCGGCAACTGCGCTAAGCTGCGATAAGGAACACAGCTGCACGCGCGCACACTGCTGCCTCGCCGAGGCCTGCGACCGAAGCCTTCCACAGCTGCACTGAGCTGTAGGAAGACAGCCACAGCGCACACACACACACACACACACACACACGCACTGCTGCCTCACCAAGACCTGCGACAAAAGGCTTTCGCAGCTCAAGGCTCCAACCGAAGTCTTCCACAGCTGCACCGAAGTCTTCCACAGCTGCACCGAAGCCTTCCACAGCTGCACTGAGCTAAAGGAAGACAGCTGCAGGGCACACACACACAGGCACACTCTGCTGCCTCACCAAGGCCTGTGACCGAAGCCTACACCAACTGCTTCCCTCGGAGAAATGTTCTTGGCCGGCAGCCGCTCCCCTTGTTGCTTCACCGACCGCCCTGACTCACGGGCCTGGTGCACCTTGGCGCAACCGGGCTCTCGACGTGATGCCGCACCCACCGCCTAGCCGCAAAGGGGAAGACATGCGTATTTGCAAAGCTTGGAAAGGCAGGTGTAGCACACTTGCTTCAATGAAACTACGCTGCCTTTGTCTCACGGGGCATGTGGCCAAATGGCTTCCTCGCAGGCGTGTGGCAAAGTGGCTTCTTCACCAGGTCTTGCGTTTGCGTCCCCGGCGTCGTTGGGTTGGAATGTTCCGCATGTCGGCAGTGGGGTCATCTTGCAGCGCCTTGACATAAAGCACATGTTCGCAATCTCCATGTAGCAAGAACTCACGGCATGTACACAGCTTGCCTGGAACTGGTTTCTTCAGCTTGCGGCGCACGCGGGGCCAGGAAGCTTGTGCAAGATGCCCCTCCAACACTGCGCAGTACTGCTGCATGTACTTCTGCAACGCTTTCAATTCCAACTCCCCATCCTTGGCAATGCCAGCCTTGCACAACCATTTTTCGAGCTGCGGGCCTTCGGAAGCTATGAGGTTTGCGACCATCTCGGCCACTTGCGGCGTCACGACCGCCTCTGCAGGCATCACGCCTCCCTGCAGTCTGCTTTGCAGAACCCAGAAAGTTGTCACACCGTCCACATCGGTTCTGCCTGCTTCCCCAGTGCGGATGTAGACCTGGCGGTAGTTGCGATTGCCACACAGCCGCGGCTCGCAGGGGATCTGCCCGCGGACCGCAGGCTTTTGCTGTTGAACAATGCATCTGCGCAGCGGGCGGGCCATGTCACGAAAGTCTTCTCCTCCTCCCATGCAAACCTGGATGCCCAATCGTTTTCAAACAGCTGTTGCATAGAGGCAAAGACTTCTGTCGGTGATACCCTTGCTTTGGCCTTGATGCTGCTTTGCCAGTATGCATGAAAGGACTCCAGTGTTTGCGTTCCTGAGCTGCTGCCTGGGTAGGTTCCCAAGATCCCTCCCCAGAAGCCACTGAACCAAAGTCCTTCTGCCCCCCAAATTGTAGAAGTGCAGCTGAAGCCTTTCTGCAGACTGCCAACTGGCACTTTCTGAAAGTACGTGTGCTGAAAGTACTCTGCAGCTTGCGCACTTTTCTTCCGTAGCCACGGGAAGGCCAATTGCCAGACCGCATCGAACAATTGCACAGTCGGCACCTCGCGGCTAATCTGGACAATTCTCTCCCAGTAGCCAAAGGTGCTCCCGTCCGGCGTGCTTGTCAAATCTGCAGCCGGCGTGGCAGGTCTCTCCGGGCTTGACGAGGCGCCCCGCTTCTTGCCCTTGTTCTTGGGTGTCCTGCGCAGTTGACGGCGCTTGCTCTCGGTACACATCTGCACAATTCTACAACTGCAACAACACGAGCCTGTTTGTCTTGCTTGCTCTTCCTTGATTGACAAACTGAGATTCCGGCGCTTTCACCTTTGGGGTCTTCTTGGCCGGCAAGTACTTCTGCATGCCCTTGTAGGTTGCTCGCCGCATGTGAGCATAGTCATCACATGGGCGTGCGTAAGGAAACACTTTGCGGCGCGAGGCCTCGATGCCTTTCGCGTAGTCCTTATGAACTTGCCAAACCTGCGCGCGGAGGTCCAGGCCGCAGTGCCTCTCAGCCAGCTCGCACGCCTCCGTGAAAATTTGGGTCATGTTGGCCTCTGACTCCGTGTCCACCAACGCTTGCAGGAATGGCTCTTGTGTTGCTGTGTGCGCCGAAGTGGACTTGGTGTGCGTGGCCCCGGCCCACGTCTTGCTTGGCACCGCACTGCTTACCAAGAAGGACAAAGTTGCAATGCCGTACTCGTTGGCAACAACTTTTTGCTTTGCGTCAACTGCAAGGTTCACAACCTTCTCTTGCAGAGCTTGAGCGTGTCTCAGCATGCCCGGACAGGTCCACATCACACAGATCCTGTCCGCCTCAAAGGTTGAAGACGGCAAGACAAGGAGCTGCGACACCTTCCAAGTCTGCCAGGCCTCCATGTTGGGGCACGTGTGCTGTAGCGCTGCGTTTTGCAGCTCGCTCAACGTCACCTTGCTCTTGGCAGAGCGTGGTGGGCCTGCGTTGTTGAATCGCACTACAAAGTTGTGCAGTTGAGTATTGCTGCATCGTAGGCTCAAGTTCTGGGCCTTCAAGGCTTCTCGCACATCCTTTGACGTGACCTTTGGACGCTTCTCCTCCAGCCCTTCCAAAGCGCACGCCTCCGCGCATGTCCACAAGCAGCCGCCGCGCGGGGGCTGCAGTTTCCCATGGCACCCTTTTTGCTCCACGCAAAGCAGCGGCCCTTTCTCTTCGAAGGTTAGGGTTGCCTTCACCTGTCGTGTGCAGCCGGCGCACACACTTTGCTGGCAGATCCCCAGCAACGTTTTGCCGTCCCTCTTCAACTGCTTTTCATGGAAGGTGTAAATGCCTTGGTCTTTCCGCCGTCCAAGAAGACGCTCCACTGCCTTCCGCAAGCCTGTGTAGGTTGCCACATCTGCGCCATCGCACGGCTTCCCGTGAAAGATTATCGCCCAACTCTCCGCTGGTGTGCTTGGGCCCTCCTCTGGCGCGCAAGGCGGCTCTCCTTCTTTTACAGTCGGCGTCGTCGCTGACCTTCCAAGCTGGGTGATGCCGGGTGCACCCACAAAATAGTCATTCAATCGCACGAAATCATATTAGTGTTCAAAGCTCTCTCCCATCATGGTTGCAGCCGCAATTGACCATTGTCTGAAAGATGAGTGGTGGAGCGAACTAACTTGCAATGAAGGTACACTTGCCTGTGAACAGCGGTTCAGCAAACCCTGTCACTTTCAATGCAGAGAAGAACAATTCCAGCCTGCCCCTCCTATCTCTAACTTGCCTTTTGGAGCATGCGCTCTCCCAGCCTCTTTGGAGCAATAGCCGGCTTCGGCTGCGCCTTCTTCTCGCTGCAAAGCTGCCTGCAAGCCACATGGGAAAGAGTGAGGCTGGTAAGCAAAGTTTCGCCTCGAAGCGAGACACTGCCCAAGAACACAACTCCGTGCCTTGGTTGCAGACAATCACGCGCTTCCGCTTTGGGTGGCCCAAATGACCAGCTAGGCACGCCCATTTCCTTCAGCGAATCCTTGGCTTCCTTGGGCAACACTGAATAGGCGAACTTGACAAAGACTAGCTCCTGCCCATTGTCGAAGCATTGCCCACGCACTTGTCCAAGACCACGCTCCGCTAACTCCTCATACGGGCCTTCTTTCCATAGCGGGGCCGGCAAGTTGCGAAAGGGCGGGCCGCACCGCCGCGTCCACTCTGCGCGCCACCCTGAGCCCACCAAGGTGCGAAGGAGCTCCCCCATCGCTTCCACGCCCTGCCGTGCGCCCAAACACACATCAACCACTCCGCACTCGAGTTTTCATGCAGTTTACATGGGTCGTGTCTTGTGGTTGTCAAGGCTAGCATGTCCGACTGCGTGCATGTGCAGCTTGAACCCAATTGAACCCACGGCCTCTGCTACAGATGGCTTCGGCGTGCGCCGCGCTGAACGACCATGCTTGGTCCTGAGCTATAGACACTTTTCCCAGCCAAACCCTACCTACGGCACGTGAGTGCGGCCCAGGCAGCCACACGCAAGGGGCCACAGCTCCTCCATCAAAGTTCCGAAAAGAGCCACTGCGCTCACCCAATAAGGCGCCTTGTGCAGTCCAGTTGCCAACGTCTCTCCAAAAAAAGTGCGTTTGGTGACATCCCGGCAAGTCAGACGGTATGCGTGGAACACCTCCTTCAGAGCCGGCGTGAGCTTCCACTCTCTTGCAGGCGCATCTATAGCCATCGGCGCCTTGCAACCTATTGACTTCAGCACAGACTGAAAGACGCGGCGCAGAATGGGCATCACCACCTGCTTCTCAAAGCCCTGCAGGCGAGGCGGGCCTGGATCCCGGAGAGCTCCGAATGAGAACATGCACCGCTGCGGCAAGCCAATTTGGCTACGAACCTCGCTAGCCACCCACCAGTTCTGCCACACGGACAGCTGCTGCAGCAAAGCAAAGGTTACGTTGGTCTTCTGTAAGGGTACACCTTTGACCGGCACAACCTTGTCCTCCGCCGACTCTTTCTTGGCCTTGCGGTCAATGGCAGTTTCCCACGGCACCTCGCCCCCTGTAGCGCTGTCCAAGAACCGGGAAAAGTTGATGTGTGTGGATTGATTCCAAGTCCGGACCTAACAAATGAAACTTGTCCCAGCCACATCCAGCTGCGAGGTGCAGATTCTCTTGCAACACGCTGCGAAGGCATTCAACCATCGGGTCCACTGCCGGACTCTTCCCGCTTCCAGGGCGCGCTGTGCCAATGGCCCAGTATCGGCTGCGACACGGGTAGCCCGCCACATCCACGCAGATCTCTTTGTGGAGCAGACCCATTAAAAGCGCGCAGAAAGCATCGTAGTAGAACACGGTCGGCATGCCAGTGCTCCGACTCCATGCCTCATGAGGACCAAGATTGGGTAAAAACTTGTCCGCCACAGCGGGTACTGCAGCTCCACCGCCTGCTTCCCGCCAAACTCATCAGCTTCAAACCCGGCAATCACAGCAGGCAACTGCTCCTTCACGTCTGCTTGCTCCATTGCCAAAATCTCTGCCTAAGCACATAGCAAGCGACACTCTGAATGCTTTTTCTTTACCCAGTTTCGTGCGGTTCCACCCTGCGAGCAGGCAGCCATGCGCACCATTCTTACAATTCCCCACCCCAACGTCGACCGCCCTCGCAATTTGAAGCCCGCTAAGGATCGCACGCTGTAAGCCGGCAGGTTCGCGAGAAACGCAGCTACATCCTCACCGGCTTGGAAGATGGACAAGGCAGCGACCACATCCCTTTCGAACTCCAGGGTGCCATCAGCGGTTTCCGCAAAGGGCAAGGTCTGCAAGCCAAGGCTCTCCGCTTTTGCGTCTACCCCTGCTGTTGACTGCAGTGCCTCCCCAGCCTGCGAGTCCAGGACAGTGGACGCCAGCTCTGTCGTTGCGGGGGCAATGCTTCCTGCTGCATTCTCTTCCGCGTTGGCTGCAGGGTCTGTGGGTGTCATATCAGCAACTGACCCAGTCGCAGCCTGCTCTGTCGCAAAGCTAGTCACGACGCAAGTCTCGTACACAGCCAGCACCACGCTCTTGGCAACCTTCTTCGGCAAAGCAGATATTCGTGTCACCACAGTGTCATCGTACCGGAGCCAGCTACCACCCTCCATGGTCCATGTCACAAAGTGCCCCTGTTCAGCATCACCGCAATCTAAAGCAATATGCTCCACTAATGCTACAAACCTGTACAAGGTGCCGTTGATTTCCACTGGCCCTGTGCAGTCCACCTCGCGCTCATTCTTGCACCATCGCCCTGTGTGCGGGTCCACGTGGCCGTTTCGAGGGAAACTTACAATCAAGACCTCTGGCGCTGACAAAGGCCTGGACTCTTGAAGAACGTCCTTCTGGCCCCCACAAGCGTCACACCTCAAGGCTTGCGGCAGCAACTGGCCTTGGAACGTGCGCTGTATCAGCGCCTGTGCAGTGGCGCGACTGCGCTGCGTGTTCTCAACGAGGAGAACTGTCCAAGCCTCGGTCATCTCCGTGCTGTGCGCGACATTGTAGCTCCTGCAGGTGTCCACGCTGCACTTGTGGCGCTGCTGCCGAAGCACCTGCATTCCGAAGCACCCTTTCACAGTGTCCTCTACCTCGGGATCTCAATGCTAAAGTCCCTCAAACTTGCAGTTTCCCTGCGTCCTTTGTGGAGCAACCCAACGAAAGGGCCCGCAAAAACAAGGCACCCCGTGTAAGACACCCCGTGTGCCCGCAAGCAACTCTGCGCGCGCCCTGTCTACCAGTGTGTTTGGGAAACTGCACCTTCCTGTTTCGCAGAGTTTTACCGGCGCTACACACAACCGGCTTGCTGCCCCGCGCCTTGGAGCACAACGACATGGCAAAGTCCGCAGCACTTTGCTGCTCACCGCCACCTAGCCCAGCTGCTTGCAAGAAAGGCTTCCACATCTCCATGGTCGCACGGTGGGCTTGGCCAAAGAGTCGAAGTTCGTTGGTTTGCCAAAGCAAGCATGTGGCGCAGTCGGCCGCGCACTTCCTCTGCGCAACATGTGTTTGCAGCCTAAGGCATAACTGCTTGGAATGGAAGAGAGCCTGTAGGACGCCATTCATGTAGCATGTGTTGCCCACATGGCAAAGGCCTGTGCCTTCGAACTGCTCCTCTCCGCGCTCAAGCTTGCACTCTTGCCTTTGTTCTTGCTTTTCCGCGCCACCCCGCACCGCATAACTTTGCCTGGCGCCAGAACATCCTTGCCAGCTGGTCGTCCTCTTGCCCCACAAGAAGGACTTCCATCCAGCAACCGCAATGCCAAGACAAGCCACGATCGCTGGCGGGACCTGCAGCAGGCGAGCAGCCCCATGCAAAAGCCCCTGTACTGTTGGTAGCAACATCAGCGTGCCCAGCACGCCCGCCATCGCTGCGTGGCGCCGAACTGCCCTCACGCATTGCCTTCGGCCGCGGCGGCGGCCCTTCACTTTCAAAACCTTGCCGCGCGCCACAACGCCGCGCACTTGCGGGCCCGCAGCCATCGCGCCCATGACCACTCCGACCAAGAACGCCACCGCGTAGCACATCGCCATCTCCATGCTGCTGATGAGCTGTTTGCTCTCCCACTAGACACGTTCCGTTCGTGCACCTAAAAAGCCGTTCCGTGGCTAGTCGTTCTGACACGTTGAGCCAACACGAACCACCCATTCATGGCTTGCGCTTGCATGCCACTGTCTGCTGGTGATTCGCGCGCTTGCTAGCACTCTTGCAACTGCTGCACACGGGCTCAGTCTGAGGCGCAAGCCCGCCCATCAACGCAATCTTCGTCTTGTTCGCCTGCGTCCGAGCCTGAGCGATGCGTCTGAAACTCGCGGATGGGAAGAAGTTATCTGCATCACCTTTACACCTTTGCTCTCTTCTTATCTGTCTCTCCCTCTATGTATCTTTCGCTCTCTTTTGTGCGGAGTGCCCCTGTTTGACGCTGCTGGTTCGGAACGTGGCAACAGCCTTTTGTCTTTCGCGCTCTTTTGTGCGGGGTGCCCCTGTTTCACGCTGCTTGTGCGGAACGTGGCAACAGCCTGCTACCGCAAAGACATGCTCGACGGAGTATCCGACAGCGACATCAACTGCGCCGCTCTATGGCGACGTGGCCGAAGCCTGCAGCAATGGCACTGACATAAATGAAGACAGCTGCCAGCGCACACACTGCTGCCTCGCCAAGGCCTGTGACCGAGGCCTGAACCAACTGCGCTGAGCTAGGGGAAGACAGCTGCCAGCGCACATACCGCTGCCTCGCCGAGGCCTGTGACCGAAGCCTGAACCAACTGCGCTGAGCTAGGGGAAGACAGCCGCCAACGCGCACGCTGCTGCCTCACCGAGGCCTGTGACCGAAGCCTACGGGCCACTCACAGTGTGCGCGCGCCGCTACCTTAAACTCCGCGCATGAGACGCTGCTCGCGCTACCTTGTTCAACAAGTATGGATGGTGACAAGAAGGTGGCCCACGCTTTTGCCATTCGTTTAATCTTGCAAACCACAAGTCGCACGAACGCTGCTGGAGTAAGCTCCCCTTAAGCACGCGATGTCCACATATCGGTCGCAGTCAACCTATCTACCTCGCAAACACTTCCCTTCATCGTTTCTGCCTTGAGTAACATCTGCTTCAGCCCGCATCAATACGCCTACCTAGCAAACCGTGTACGGATAACCTATGCGCTGAACAACTTCACTTAAACTCAAGATACAAAGAAGCAAGGCTGAAACTACGGTAAGCATTATTGAGGAGAAGTTACAAGAGGTGGGATGGGGCCATAAGCTCACAACTCCAACTAAAAACAGCAACGCGGCGAGGAACATAGGACCAATAACCAGAGTGCAACCGTTGTCCAGCCCGTTGTCTAAGTCACTCGTGACCCATCGTTATCTTCCCATGCAAACTGCCCTGATTAACTCAATCCGATGATGTAAAAAACAGTCGGGGATGATGAAAGCAAGGTCGAGGACAAAAAACCAATAAGAAATTGAACAACTTCTGCCTGTTACACACCAAAGCTGCTGTCCAGTGCGCCAAACCAAAGTTTGAGGGTTAACAAAACCAGGGCCGAGGGTGAAAAAGGCAGGGGGGAGGGTGAAAAAAGAAAGGTTCGGGGTGAAAAAAGCAAGGTTGAGGGTGAAAAGAACAATTTCAAGGGTTGGAAAAAAAGGACTCCTGAGGGTTAGAAAAACAAGGTCCCCGTTGAGAGGTTCCAAAAAGGTCGGAGGGTTAAAAAAAAAGGAAGGGTTGAAAAAACAAGTATGAAGGGTGAAAAAAAAAGGGAGCCCCGAGCAAAATTGCAAGGCCCTCCGCATCCTTTCTCCGGCAGGGTTGGAGAACCTTCTCCGAGGGTTTCGTACTTGGATCTTTGGACGCCGAGTCAGTAGGTGGTTACCCTTCCGCACACTAACCGAAGGCATTTGTGGGAGGGTACCTGGAGAATCACTTTCCTCCCTAAGGAATTTCTGTCAGGTGCCATGTTAGTAAGAGGGAGGGTAGCTTTTTGTTCACCCCCTAAAAAGGATATCCCCACGGAACACGGGGGACTTCTTTTCAGCCGGGTACAACCGAACGGTTGCTGTTACTCACTTGGCAAACTAAGCAAATCGAACACCCGAAGCACTATAGAATCTAGTGTCTCTCCCGGTTGGCCTCACACTCCAGACAAAGCTCAGACAACTTGAGCAGGGAAAGGCCAACAGGAAGGCGAACACAAAAAGAAACAATTCCTGGGAAGCTGGCATGCCGTGCAAACCACAACAGGTCCAAAAACCCAAACCGCTGTTCAAAAACAATATGCCGAATCCCCGTACCCATAGTTTGTGATGGTGGTTTGGGTGTTTGGACCCCTGGTTCTTGCAGGGGGGAAATGGGAAACCACCCCTAACCAGTAAGCCACCGGGCTCCAACAATCCAACCACAAACATTCGTGGGAAGCTGACAAAACTTGGCTGGAATTAGGACCCCGGCCCAAAAAAAAGTTTGGCTTGGATAGTGGAAAACAAAGGGAACCCCAAAAAGCACAAACAATAAACAGGGGACGACTTCCGGGGAAGAAAAGACGGCCACCTTGCCCCCTCCAACCAATTGCAGGCGCAGCACACTGCGGCCGCTACTTCCCACAGCTGCCATGGGGGCTTGCTGATCCGAAGGGGCAACATCCATCCGGCCGGCCGCGGAAATGTGCGGCGTGCGGTGTTGGGCTGTCTGAAGCGACCGTCCTTTTCTGGAACCTTTGCGCTCCAAAAAAACAAGAGAGAAGAGAACCGCGCGGCGAAGAAAACAATATGTGAAATGGATGTGCCTGAGGAATCGATGAAAGTTGAGAAAACTCAAACACACTGGAAACCCAACCCGTCCTTGATTCCTCTGCAAAAAGCTGAACTTTTAGTGGGTTCAACGGAAAACCCGTCAGTCCCCAAAAAGTTGAAGTCTAAAGATCCAAGCCAATAGCAACCAAGCGAGGTCCCGAGCCATGGTCCCACGGGCATGAACCTTGAGAAAGCGATTGAAAAGGCTGCGCTTGGCCGCTGGAGAACCAAAAGTGACCCTCGCCATGCGAAGGCAGCGAACCATCTGGGTGAGTTATAATATTTATAGCTTGGGGGGGGGGCCATTCCCCACGCAACGTAAACCATCATTTGGGGTGAGGTGCTGTGAGGTCGTCATACTTCACCCAGCAAAACCATTCCAGAAAGTGGGGCCCATTGGCAGGGATCTGTCCAAAGCTCCAAAGGGCTTGTTGCAGCTCAGGCGGTTGGGCTCTGTTCCACTGGGTTCCTTGAAACATTTGGGCGTGTTCCACCAGCGGGTCGAGTGATTTCGGGCCAAAACCGGGCGCTTTCCGAGCCTTCTGTTCGGTGCATGAGGAGCTTCCCTCCGCTTGGCTCTTGGCTCGCCGGCTCGGCGGCCCGGTTTTTGGTTTCGGGGTGTGCCAGATCCAAACCCTCGGGCTCCGAACCGACCCAGATTTACGTCTTGTCCAATTTTTGTTGGACCCAAACCCACATGAAACATGACATACCCACCCTCGGCTCTTGCCAAGCGTTCGACGAGGAATGGGTTCTACCTCCCCGGGCAAAATCGACCAGGGGTGAAATCCAAACCCGAACCAGGCTTGAAATGACATAGCCACTTCGGCTTTTCCAGCTCGACGAAGAGGAATTGGTTACACCCCTCCCATCAAAATCGACCAGCGCTTGGGTTCCAAAGCACTCGGACCTGACACGAGGAGCCGGCTCATTGGTCTGCTTCTTGATGTCTCTGGTCATGGCCATGCACATCGAGTGGTGGCACCCCGTTGCCACCTGCGGACGAACAAAATCAAATAAAACCAAAACCAAACCAGTGGCCTTTGTGGGTAAAAGAACATAGCGCTTCCTTGAATTTGGGGGCAGGTGAGCTTTTCAAAAAAACAGAACAGCCTCCAAACAAATTGTGAAAGAATGGGCCACTGGGTGCTTGGGCAACAAGCATGCTCATCTTCTCGCTCTCTCTCTCTCTCTCTCTCTCATTGGTTTGGAGGTTAGGTGGTTGCCCATAAACCCTCTAAGCAGCATCCATGTGCAGTCCATGTGACCACACTTCAATCGGAACCTGCGAACTCCCTGAAAACCCGCAAACTTCGATTGCTTACAAGACGGGAACAAATCGATTGCTTACCCTCTACTGGAACATAGGCATAAATCCAAATCCAAACCACAAGAAACCACAAATTCAGAGAGTCACCTGAGATACACCACGAGTGTCCTTTGCCCGTGTCAGGTACGAAGCCAGGGATCCAAAGTGAGTCGGGGGTCTCACGTCTCCCTTTTGGATTTCATGTGAGGTTCAATTGTGCAACCCCCCTCCCCCTCCCCCACTGGGCCCACCCGGGCCAAGAAGAACCCCAAAGCATGTATCACAAGAGAAACCCCAAAAGGAGCTTCAAGGCAACCTTTGAGGGCTGAGCAACGCAGGGTAAACATAGCCGGAACCTACAAACACCAAGGGCGTCGCCCGTGACGGGCGTCACCAGATCTCAGCCTGCGTGATTTCGAAGCTGATCTTGCCGCCTCAGCTGAGAGTGACGGCACCGCGCAGGGCCTCGCTCAGGATCAATGGAGATCAGGAAGTCTCTGTTGATATGAACGCATTTTCTTTGAAGGGCTTGCAGTTGACGATCATGAAAAAAAGACTACTAAACATTTTGAGTTGAACAAACTTATCCCTTGAAAGGGTGGCTTTAAAGGACAACCAGAAGAGACGCCAAACCCTAGCCGAACGAATCCCTGTTCTCTCGCTCTCTCTCCCCCCTGCATCGCCATCAAGGTTTAACGAAGATCCTTTCGCAGCTTCCCCACAACCTCCATTTGCTCAAGTCCCCTGCAAAAAAATATGTCCGCTAGTGATAGGTTCCCTTTAAAACCAACAGGGGAAAATAAAAACATATAACCAAATGGAAGACAACTGGCTTTCGGTGTTCCCTTTGGTTTCCCTTGAAACCCAGCCGGCAAGGTACCCTCAAACCCATGTGCGCCATCACGCAGGCGCTGCGCCCTTTCTCCATCATACGAAGCATTTTTCG